AAAAATACTAATTGCAGTTTTATCCAATACCTACATCCATTCCTCCAATTCGATTTATGTACATTGTATTAAAACTAATGTTGAATTAATTACACATATCAATCTGGATTGCTGAAAAAAATTATAGCAAATAACTGGATTCGTTATAAAAATCTTATTGCATTAATGAAGCATGAAGTAATTGAATATTTTTTTCACTCGAGACCGTCGTAATTGCCACCTTGAACTAGGCATTAAAAGGAATGATTGTTGTTAATAATAACGTGATAAACTTAAATGCATCGACTTTGATTCCAATCTGTATCTTAAAATAATCTGAAGTAATTCTGTTAATAAGGAAAGATAATCGTGCTAGATCGAAAATCCGATTCGATGTACGTATGTACATAATATTTTGTATTTATTTTAATAAAGACGATTTATGTTTTGTGATAAGCAGGTTTTACAAATTTGTTGCTACCTATTTGTGTGTATGAAATAGATAAAACATTTAAAATATCTAATAAAGTTTAAAAAAGGTTTTATTTCATAGTTGTTATAGTATAATCATTAAAAAAATTTAATGCAATTAATAGTATCATCATATAGTATTAATAAGTTGTAATTACTTCATTAATAGTTTTTCTTTACACTACTTTTAATTGGGTAATTAATACAAATTTAATTTACAACGTTATTATTTATATGTAACTATTAAGACGGTTATAAAAAATTAATATGAAAGTTAAATTGTGAATAAACTGCACAATTTAACGAATATAAATATGTGCATATTTCACTCGTGTATAAGAACAAATAAAGCGAAAAGTTCTTAACCGATTGAAGCTACAACGTTTTGCAATTGCACGTATTTTTATTTACTTAATATTTTTAATCTAAGCATCTTGCAAATAAAAATGATAAAAGTGCACAATATTTTTTTCTCTATCGTACATTCACTTTTCGCCGTTCCAGACGGGTTTGTTCACCTTTCTGGGAACAATTTTTTCTATGTATAAATTTGCAAATTCCCTATTCATCTAATCCAAAATCCAGATGCAATCTGTCAATAAAAAAATCATGATTAAGCGGGTAAAAGTTTATTGTTTAGCTTGTAGAATGTACTGCAAAAAGGATATTGACATGAAAGGTAGGAAATTTTGCAACATCAAGCATCTATTTATTTGTTTAAGTGACATTATTTACAATCAACCTAGGCTATAAACACGTTTGCAGAAATTGTTTATTTTTGAAGAAAAGAAATAATGATCGCGTAGGTACATTTTTTATCAGATCTTTTGTATTAAATATTGATTTACGTTAATATTATTTGTATACGCGATACAACATCCTCGTATTATTTATCGATATAAGATGCTCCCTGCTAATTGACTAGACTTGAAAATTGTATTATTTTGTTGTGGCCGTAAACAATATTATAGAGGTTAAAAATCGTTTAATGAACGGATAAACAACTTATTCCTCATCCAAGGATGTTAGTAATTAAATTAACTGCTCTGACATAACGCAGGAATATAATTTAAAATGAAACTGCAACAAATGCTAATAATTAGCAAGGATATTCGTATGTAGATGCGATTGTTATTGGTTTCTATAGGTAAATGGTGCTTGAAAAAATTTATGCAAATAGATGATTCTTGTAAAAGTCTTGTTAAGTTAATGGTAAAACTGTTAAAATTTTAATAATTTTTTCGTTGAATGAGTCGCGCTGTCTTTTGCATCTCCTGATAGCGAACGGAGTATAAATGTGAAATTTTTCTGGCAGTTTTTTTCTGAATTTTCATCCAAATTTCTGTACGTTTCGAATTTTCGCAACCGATTGGAAATCTCCTCCATTATAGCATTCTTCGGCTGAGAAACCGATCGAAATGACTGTAATTTTCCGCGAAACCGGCGAAAAAAAAAATCCATTCGATTACCAATCGCGCCAGTTTCGGTTTCGTTCGCCACGATCAAGTTTATAATATTCTCGATATTTCCTCGTAATCGCGAACAGCGGAGAATCTCATCGTTAGCCGTGTGTCGCATAATAGTCTAGGCTGTGTGATGCAACACCTCCGAAGGAGTACGCGACCCAAATCGCGCTAAATTCTAGCAGAACCGTATTCAACGCCTTTCTATCGCTCGATTGGTACCCAGACTAACCATTTACACAGCCATTTCTAACAAATTTAGCGCAGAAATAACGCCAATTCCAACCCCAACTCATTTTTCATTTACCTATCGACCCTTCTAGAGATTCATAAAGATTCATAAAGAAATAGAAGAATCGTCGTAAATAAAATCTAGTTACGATTCTGTCTGTGAACCACCGGTACCACCACGTCAATGGCTCGTCGAAGATGCTCCGTCTTCGTCGGTCGCGCGGAATGGCGTCGGCGGTAGAAAAAGACAGGAGGTAATGGACGTGTTCGCGAATCGTGACAAAAACGCCAACTTCGTGGGACTCGTTCGTCCTACTAAAGGAAAGTGAAATCGAGGCCAGCTTTGCACTTTCACTTGTTCGCGTCTAGCCCCATAGAAAATTCGCGTTCGAGCTCACTAGATGACTCCTGACTATTTATAATTCGCCTGTATAGAAGCGATCAAAAGGCTCTTCTTGGTGAGGTAGTACTAAAAACCTACTCTAACTTAAACAGTCCTTAATTTTACCTCTTCACGATAGTACCATTGAATACATCGTTTAGCACCCTTCGATTGATTACAGATAACAATTCGAGATGATATAGAGTAGGAATTGAATTATAGAGATGTTATCGTGATGTTTGAGGCGAATGATCTCATAGGTGTCGTAGCACGTTTGTGTTGAAGGGAAAGTCCACGGCGTAGTTAAAATACGTACGACCGAAAAAAATGAAAGTTGCGCGCATAAATTTTAAGTGAAAAGCTCCGAATTAAAATTACGCACGATAACGATCGGACGGGTCGGAAAAAAGAGAGACCACCGATGAAAACCGAAAGTGATGCAGGATTGAAAAATTTACAGATTTTCAATAGTGCGTTTTTTGTTGGGGATATTATCATAATCCCCTCGTAATTTACTACAAATAATGGTCCATAATCAGCGCCCCTCTTTAATTTTAAAAACAATTATTTTTAGAGCCTCTTTAACGTAAACAAAGTCCATGGTTACTCCATAACAACAATGCACAACTGTCAAGTTAAAGACGCTTCTTTAACTTTTAAAATGAGGCGCTGAATACGGAACAAATGTTTGTACTATTTTATCTAATTCATCGTAGTCCCCTCGTAACGCAATTTCATCTACCAAAGTTCTATTCGATAAATGTGAACAATTTTTTGATATTCAATAAAGCATTTTTTAATCTCCTTTTACCTATACACTAAATAGTTACTTCATTTTCATCTCTATTTCTCGACTATACGAGGGTGGATTTAAAAATATCTACAGCTCTTTTTTGTTAAAAAAAATTTTAAGTAGGTAGAAGAGAGAACAGTTTCTTGTGCTTATAACGTGACTTAGATTATAGAACAAATAATAATCTGGTGTTTTCGTTGGAATGATGTAACATATCGAATCGAATTCGTTATACATCCATAATGGTTGATTTGAAAAGGTCACTGCTAAGTCCAGTGGGGGTCCGATAAAATGATAATTGTTAATGCTATCAGCAATCGTATTTCGGGCTAAAAATATACGCATTTGTGCAACGATTCGATATAATTTTAGTAAGTAACTTTTTTCGGATTTTCTAGGAGTATGCAAATGGTAGTGTTAAAGGTAGTGTAAACATAGGAAAATGCTGAAAATCGCTTAAAAATAAATTTCAGCAACGGCATGGTTCGTGGTGCAGCGGATTCGGACCGGCTCAAAGTTCAAAAAACAGCATCTTCGTCCGGTCTAAAATTAGAAGTAACACTAGACACAGCTGACCAGAATTTTACTGTTTTTCTGTGCCAAAACATCGGCTGCACCGACCTACTTCCGTATTTTTATAAGATTTTCTCGTCTATTTTTTCTTTCGAATGTTGACGCGGCGCGAGTAATTTTTCTATTATAGCTATAGGGAAAGCGGGGGCTTTTCCGTACTGATTCCAGTACCTACCCTTTTCATTTTCATACTATCACTGCAATTTAAATATTATCGAGCGCGCGGATCCGAATTTAGCACTTGAATTTGTTTTCTTTTGATTTTTTTTTGTTCTTATTTTAAAATTGATTGACCCAAGGTTTATATAAACATTGCCGTTACCGTTTCGATTAGAATTGTTCTGCAAAACATCGATAATCGGTTTTATGTAATAGGGCGCAATCGGAATTTAATCGCTATGGTAACAGAGAATATTTCTATCTAGCCGATGTTACGATAAAGATTGTTTGCTAGGATTCGTTAGACTTAAAATTAAAAATATCCATATGAATGATTTAGTTACAAAAAATTGAGAATGAACATAACATTTTTTTTTAATTTTTCATTTACGGTGAACGTTTTGACAGGTTATTTTGAAGTGAAACGTCACTTGTCAAAAAACCTTAAGTTGGTAAGATAAATTAATTTAGCTTTTATGACACTTACAAAAATGTGTCCCAATTAACTTAACAATTAAAAACAATTATATTTTACAATAAATTATTCTTTTACCATCTGCATTCTCCTAACATTGGCATTTTGAATATTATTCTGCGGCTGCGGTAAAAAATGAAAATTTAATTTAGTGGCGACATCTAGCGCGTACTTGCCGAAACTCAACTGTCAGAATAATTATTGAAACCTTCATTATTAATCCATCTCGAATAATCATCTCGTAGGTGTCGGTATTGTTCAAAATTTAAGGTGAAATTTAAAATATTTTTTATAAAAGAAATAATAGTATTCGGAATATATTCTAGAACTAAGACAAATCAAGTGCACATATGTACTTATAGCTTACTTTATTTATGATAAATGACATAAATGACAGGATCCAGGTAATAAAATACTATTTGTTATAAAACATTTTTTCTATTAGAGAAACTTCTCACGTTTTTTTCGATAATACTTAATCTTGGGATAATTAAAAAAACTGATATGTATAAATTGTCCAGTCTTTAATGAAATTTTTTTCAATATAAAATAATATAATCTAAAAATGTGTAATGTGATACGAAATAAATGCAAATAAATATCGTCTGTAACATGCTTCATAAACGAAACACGAGTTTCCTCTCTATTAACATAATCGCTTCAAACTCCTTAAAAGTCCGTATACGTGTTTCGATAAATATTACTAAACTAAACTACATTTAACTTCGCACTGAGATAAAAATATTTCCTAATTAACAACAAAAAAAAGGACTAGTTAACAACACTCGAGCATGTTACAAAAGATGAATTTTTTTCAATATATCTTAAGTTACTTATAAATTTTAAACGATTTCCTTCTATCCATTAAACCAACTGTAGAATTTAACAATTAAAATCATCGGCGGCAGGTTCCTCTTCCGCTTCGTAATCCTCATCTACCGTTGCCTCCTGGTACTGCTGATACTCCGATATCAAATCGTTCATGTTCGATTCCGCTTCCGTGAATTCCATTTCATCCATACCTTCGCCCGTATACCTATCAAAAACCACATTAATTTAATTGTATCAACTAATCCTATCTATATAAGATGAGTCAAGGATATACCGACAAACAGTTCTGGGATTTAAAGCCATATTACTCACCAGTGCAAGAAGGCTTTTCGTCGAAACATGGCGGCGAATTGCTCGGAGATCCTCTTGAACAGCTCCTGTATGGCGGTGGTGTTGCCTATAAACGTAGCGGACATTTTCAAACCAACGGGCGGTATATCGCACACCGCCGTCTTCACGTTGTTGGGAATCCACTCCACGAAGTAACTGCTGTTCTTGTTCTGAACGGCCAACATTTGCTCGTCCACTTCCTTCATCGACATACGACCTAAAAGCCACAATTCACTTAAAATTAACACCCAAGGGGATAATCGAATCGGTGCTACCTCTGAAGACGGCGGCGACGGTGAGGTACCGGCCGTGCCTGGGATCGCAGGCGGCCATCATGTTCTTGGAGTCGAACATTTGCTGGGTGAGCTCCGGCACGGTGAGGGCCCTGTACTGGACGTTGCCTCTGGAGGTGAGAGGAGCGAAGCCGGGCATGAAGAAGTGCAAACGCGGGAAGGGTACCATGTTGACGGCCAATTTCCTCAGATCAGCGTTCAATTGACCGGGGAATCTGAGGCAGGTCGTCACGCCGGACATGGTGAGAGACACCAAGTGGTTCAGATCGCCGTAGCTCGGATTCGGAACCTGCCGAATGAGAAATTTATGTAGATAGATAATTAACGGAATAATACTGTTAATCGTCATACCAAAAAATCAGTAGATACGACAATATTATCTATTAAATTTTCTAAATGGATTCCTTTCGTTAAACGAATTCCTTCTAATTCATAACAATGATAAGTATTTAGACAGAGAATGAAGTTATTGTGTATATGTGACGCATTAGTAATTTATTCGATGCGATTGTCGGAAGAATAACATCGTTTTAATAATATCGTTATTCGAATTGATCGATATTAATCGAGTGATTTTAGTTGTACAGATAAATAAAAAATTACCTTCAACGTTCTGAAGCAAATGTCGTATAACGCTTCGTTGTCTATACAATAGGTTTCATCGGTATTTTCGACTAACTGATGAACGGATAATGTGGCATTGTACGGTTCGACGACCGTGTCCGATACTTTGGGACTCGGCATTACCGAATAAGTGTTCATTATCCTATCGGGGTATTCCTCCCTGATTTTCGATATCAACAAAGTTCCTGAAAAACAAATTATCTAGTGCAATTAACCGCTTTCCAATTAACATACTTCCACTTTATTAGTAGCTTTACAGATTAATTAATGTTTGTTCTAACCACGCTTGATGACCAATTAAAATTAACTAACAAACTTTATTTTATATTACCCGCGTTTAACTCGAATAACGTTTCTAAAAAAACCTATAATTAAATCTCTTTCAGCTCCACTCACCCATGCCCGATCCGGTGCCGCCTCCGAGGGAGTGCGTCAGCTGGAAGCCCTGCAGGCAATCGCAGTTCTCCGCCTCCTTGCGGACGACGTCGAGGACGGCGTCCACCAGCTCGGCGCCTTCGGTGTAATGGCCCTTGGCCCAGTTGTTGCCGGCTCCGGATTGCCCGAAGACGAAGTTGTCGGGGCGGAAGAGCCGCCCGTATTGGCCTGAACGCACCGCGTCCATGGTGCCCGGCTCCAGGTCCAGCAGGATCGCCCTGGGCACGTACTTGCCGCCATCTCCGGCCGAGGCCACTGCAACCAGATACTCGTGAAACTCGACAGGGAACGCGGGAAGAGGAGACGAGGATTCGCATCCGGTAAGTTTATAATCTCAGATGGGAGTTTGTTAATTTTATTTGTTGCTTCGGTGTAATTTTTTTGTCGGCGATTACCGAGTTTACAAAAACGCTTTACTGTTTCTTTTTCTCTGGTTTAACGGGCAAGAGCAACAACCTAAAATATATTTTAATTGTGCGATTGAGTCAGCGTTTTAACTTATCCATTTCCTGTTTTTTTTCCGATTCGTATTCGTCGAGTATGACAAACTTTGCATTCCCGATAAGTCGCGTTGGAAATTTTTTCGGCGAATTGCCGCATACTTTTTCGATTAACGCGTTCGAATTTTCGTATTGTTATTCGATGGAAATGTTGGAGAGGATTTTTAAACCTACCCGATGCTTCGTTGTAGTAGACATTAATTCTCTCTAGTTGCAAGTTGCTGTTTCCTGTATACGTTCCGGAAGGATCTATGCCGTGCTCGGCGGAAATTACTTCCCAAAACTGGAACATAAAAAACACCTCATTAGTTATTACCGTCTTTTTTTGTATTAAGTGAACCAGATTCAAATCAGTTACGTACAGATTGATCGATGGATTCTAATTAGAGTGTAAATAAGCCGTAATAATCAATTCTACTGCACTAAGAGATATAAAAAAGCACACTAAATTCTCCTCTCTTAATTCTATAATTAAATTAGTTGGGAGTTCTTAAAAAAGCTCCGTGCATCGTACGAAATGGAAAATCTGGCCAATGTGTCTTCCATAAATAAAATGTCACCTGAATTGCAGTTCTTTCAATGAGATCGTTTCAACATAAATATAGAAGCATCCACATCCACGCCAAGTGCATTGAACTAAACGTCGCCGGTTGATTATTTTAGTAACGCAAGAGGTGCAATTAAGAACTCCTGGATAGGTGAAACGCCGATCGCGTTGTTAATTTCCCACAGCATTTGAATTTAATTTAATATTTGTGGCGTTATTTCGCCCTCGATATAGTATAAGTATGGTCTACGCGTAAACCGAGACAATGGAAACCTTTAAAATTCGAACTTCCGTAAGAGGTAAACCGATACATCCGATTACCAATATCAAATTCCCGTTAATTTCTCGTAAATGGTTAGAAATTTCATTTTTTTGTTCGCTTATCGGCGAGCTGTAATTATCACGATGCTATGAGGGTTTCCGAATAACACTGTTAACGGTCTACTGTTTTTATCAATTTTATTTAATTGTGCTAGAATGATTTTCTATGAAATATTAGTCGATTTCGACAAGGCGAATTCCCGATTGAACGTATAAGGGTACTTAAAGTGATAGTCACGCTATAGCGGTGGTCAATACACTTTGTTTTTCCCGCTGTTATTGAACATTGAATAATTGAGTCGCTGATAAAAAACGCATTAATGTCATTTTATTGATTTTCAGTTCGCAGAAGAATAATGTGGTCAACGACTTTGAACGGTTTACGGAAAATGGGTGAGTCACGTTTTGTTCAAATGCTGTTAATTATGTAGTAAAATGTCATTGGTTAATTAACGAAGGGATTTCCTCCAACGAATTCCAATCTTTCCGAATCTAAAAGGAACGATTTTGAATCGTAAAAATTATCGTTGGCTAGTAAAGATAAAGCTGTTGTTCTCGTTATCGAAACAGGAAAATATAATTTTTCGACGTTAAGTTACATAGAAAGAACCACTCATTTTTCTAGTGTAGCGATAACGGGATTCGTATAATTTTTGTTACATTTTTCCTAAAATTCTTCAATTTATCATCTTGGTACTCATTGCGTATTAATTTATGATTTCATTAATCACGCTCGCTTTGAGTAATTCATACGAACGAGTGAATCAAATTTTATCAAAACAAATTTAATCACTGATTAAATTCAACGTTTAAAATGTAAATAATAAAATATATTCGTATGTAATAGAAACATTAAAAATTAATGAAGGCACAAGTGCGAGCATTAACCCCCATTAAAGATCGTCTGACTTTTATTGAAGAATAGAGGCATCAAAATTAATGTAAACAACAGTTTCATCGTAAATCTTCAATTAAACCTTTTGACTTGGTTACTCGGAATTATGTTATGCTGGTTTATTCAAATTTTTTTAGAAGTATAAAAACAATTAACAAACAGACAAGAGAGTATTGTAAATTTAATGCACTTTAAATAATGCATTATTTAAAAGAAATATTTAAATAAAAAAAATTAAATAAAATAGCTGACCTTAGCGCCGACTTGGTTACCGCATTGGCCGGCTTGCAGATGGACGATTTCCCTCATTGTTACCGCTTTTCCTTCGGTCAAAATCAACTTCTAATAGGCAAGTCTGGCCTAAACGCAAACGGATTGGAAACTAAATCGGCTCGACGCTCGACTGTGCACTGTAAAGCCTGCGTGTGCTGTACGCAGCAAAGTAACATATAAAACGACAGCTCGAGCTTTGGGGAAATCGCCGGCCGCGAAGCCGATCTCCTACGGGTCGGCGCGCCTCCTGAAGATGATCCCCACTACACCAAAAAATGGAATAAAATAAAATCTAGGCGAAAATAATCTCGTCGAAATATGTTAATTGCCCTTTTAAATTGCAGAAAAATGCCATTACAATTCTGTATAATTATTTATATGATTGCTATAAAAGTAGAGCTTACATATTAATCCGATGAGATGGGAATAACCGTAAAATAATGTTATAAAAATTGCAATATTATACTCCGTTCGTCTTCAGGAGATGGTAATAAAACCTAATTTTGTATGTGATTTAACGAAAATTCCAAAACTTTTACCTATTGAGCAATAATGTTTATTTTCCTTTAATAATGCCACTTTGTATACCGGGTGTATAACAAAAACCCTTTTCTAATCATAGAAAAAATGCACTGAAAACAGTGCACAGTCGTGCATCTGGGATATTAAATAGGTACTTAAAGAGCACAATATAATTAAATATTATTTAAAATTAAAAATCGCTTTCATTGATAACTGAATCGATACCATATACTACCGGTGTTATTACTATATCCTGATAGCGAATAGAGTATAGATTTAATTGTATACAGAGTGTCCCAGAATATGGAATTACAACAACTATCTGAAACATTCCAGTACACACCCTGTATAAACATTCGAATAAATTTTTCGCTAATAGTGTGCGCGCAATTAAATGTTATGTACGGTAGCAGAAACGCGATTTTCGAGCTTATTAGGCGAATTTGTTACGCCCCAAATGAACGTTTCGTTCGAATCGCTCCACATACATTACGAATTCACGTGCAAAATCAACGTATTATCGAATGAATTCGTAACAACATTCAATTAACTATTAACAGGTTTCGTTCCGGTTAACAAGACGGTTCGCACGGCATCGGACTGTTGTTAAGTGCTCACATGAGGGATAATACTTTTTATACAGGGCGATTTCGTATCGAAAGGCTATCATTTATTCATTATATTTCTAAGGCAAATTTGACAAACCTCTATACCTCATCGAATGCAGCTTGGCATTTGAAAATTGCTTAGATTCGCAAACTGGGAAGAAAAATTGACTATGCATTTTTGGTACTATAGTAGCCTATTTTATACATGTTAATTTGATAAATAATTGAGGCATTATTGTTTAATTTTGAGTCGTTAGTAATAAATGTTCTAGGAATAATTAATCAAATTTAACATCCTGTAAATAATATAAATCAACTACACCACTGGAAATCTTGCGATCTTTACTTTTTGATCGATTAGTGTTAATTGATCTCTTAATACCTACCCTCATCCAATTTCTTATAAACTCCAATTGTCAAGCTACGTTTGTCGAGGTACAGCGGCATTATCGAGCTTGCGAAGCGAGCGGGAATGCGCATCGTTTGTAATTAAGCATTAGTACTGACCCGCCAACGGTACTTTCGTAGCACCAGAGCAAGAATGTACGAACAAATGTTTTGTTTGCTCTAATAAATACGCAGACATGTCCTGTTAGCGATGCGTTTTACGTGCGCTTTCTTCGCGTTTGGAAATGTATCGTTTAGCGAACGTTCGCGGGATTTATTTTCGACCGCTGTCGCCGGGAAGTTGAGGAATTTCCGTCCGATTTAGAACGGGTAGAATAACGCCTCGTCTATGGAGACGAGTCCCCTTGTAGAGACATTCTTTCGTAAATAGATTGGTGGAATAAAAAAAATACAAAGCGAAAACGCGTGTCACGCGTCGAGTTTCGTAAACGCCCGCTTAAATTAACAGAAATGTAGCTTTCGAAAAGGGCTAATGAACTGCGTAAATTCTTGTGAACGATTTATTAGTCGTAAAAATGATTCTATTTGATTATTGTATGTTTTTTGGGCTTAAATAAACGCGGGTTCTTCTTTTTTCCGTTTTGTTTCGGCGCTATATCCTTCACTAGCGTGATTGCGCTATCGTTTTTGCTATCTGTCGTGGAAGACAATGCGGCTGAAAATAACGGATGGTTTCCGTTGAATTTTTCCGGATAAATAGGCATATTCAAAAGCGACAGTAATTGCTTCTTCTTCAATTCCAACAGCTTTTTGTTCTTCGACACTTCCTTGTTATCGTATTTTGTATTACTAAAATGTTTGTTAAGAAAAATCGTAGTATATTAAAATTGATTTTAAACGCATTATTAGGTAGTAAAAAGGATACAAATCGTCTGCGATGATATCTGCTTCTTCAATGGTTTTCTGAAGCCATCCGCTTTCTAAACCAGCTTTTTTTACTTGCAATTGCAGCTTGTCTATATCCCTAGCTAGATTCACTCTTTTCTTCATGGCACTCAATACGTTTTCACGCACGGGAAACGACGGCATATCATCGGCTAAAAAACAATCATTCGATCTTTTACTAACGGAGCTATCCAGTTCGCGACCGTTCCCTCCGAACCACCGCATTCTCGAGCTTGCGAAGTGAGCGAGACTCGTTCATACCACTATATGTAATCAGAATTACCTTTTCCTAACGTTCTGCAAAGCTTTATGTATCTCGGGATTTCGGTCGGTTCGATGAAAACGACGGAAATGCCCTCTCTAGATGCCCTGGCCGTTCTGCCAGATCGGTGTACGTAATTCTCGCTCGTCCTGGGCGTTTGATAATGCAGAACGTGATCGATGCGCGGTATGTCCAAACCCCTAGCGGCCACATCTGTTGCTATTAAAATACTATTTTCGTTGCCGGTGAACCTGAAGAAACGAGTCCGCGGTTATTTAAATAGGTTTCAGCGTTTTTTTCGTATTACCTATCGATGTTTTTTAATCGTTGCCGTTGTTGCATTGAGGCGTGTAGAGGAAGAGGGTTGCAATTTAATAGAGTTAATAACGCTCCTAATCTTTTAACGCATCCTATGGAGTTGCAAAAAACAACGGTTCTGCCGGGGTGCATTTTTAAGAAATAGAAGAGGTAATAGTCTTTTTCTTCTATAGAACAGGTTATTTTAGATTCCGTTAGAGTTTCCGATGTGCCTGCAAAACAACGTACAATAATGTGTAAACAATTTAAGTATCTAATTAATGTACCTTTTCCTTCGGTGATATCGACTACTTTCGGATTATTCAAACCTAAAGCCTTGACGATTTTTTGTACTTTCTGTTCGGGAGTCAAATTTCCGATTTTTTTAGAGCGTTTTGATTTCAAATAATTCGGTAACTCGTGCACTAAAGTCAGTGTAGCCGAAAACACGAAATTTTGACGCTCCTTTGAGATATTCTTATCGAAATTAATCTTTTCCAGTAAATCGTTAAGCTCTTGAAAATGGCCTTTTTCCAGCATTCGATCCGTCTCATCGATAGCCAAATATCTGCAAAACTCGTTATGTTAGGTAATCATAACTTGTTATTGAAAGTTGTTTACTTTATTTTATCGACTTTGGAGAGATGCGAGTTCCCTTGTTGTATTAATTCCCACAAACGTCCCGGTGTAGCTATTACTATTTCAGGTTCTTTCGACAAAATCCTTTCTTGTTTTACGACCGCCATTCCCCCGACGACCACGGCAACATTTACACCTAAAATTTAATTTCAGTATCAAATGTTTATTAGATTTATTTTTTCAAAAAATTCACCTGTATATTTTGCGACTGCTACAATGTGATTCTTCACTTGTATAGCCAATTCCCTCGTAGGCGTTAATATCAAAGCATAAAGAGGTTTGCAGTCTTCCGAACCAGCAGATTCTTTTAATTTCAGTATTCCTGTTAAAATCGGTAGGGCAAAAGCCAACGTTTTACCGCTGCCTGTTTCAGCAGCTCCTACAATGTCTCTTCTACCTGAAACCAGAGGAGTTATAGCTTATTTCAATTTTAATGTAAGGTGAAATATACCTAGAATTGCTGATGGTAATGTCATTGATTGAATAGGCGTAGGATCGTCGAAACCCAATTCTCCAATAGCCCGTAATATTACGTCGGGCAGCCCGAAACAACTCCATGCATCTAACGTGTAATCCTGGTTTATAACTGAATCGGATTCATCGAAATTCGATGTATTTCCACTCGTGGCTAACGTGAAATCGTTTTCATCTATTTTTTGCTTCTTTTTATTGTTATTAGAAGTTTTCTTTTTTCGTTTTAACGGTGTCGAAGACTCCTTAATGTCCTAAAAAGCAGTATTTATTTCAAAACGTGTTGTAAATTGGTGCATAATTACTTACACCGTTTTTAGTAAACGTATAATCGGTACATTCTTCTATTCCTATTAATCCCTCGGAAAACAAATTATTGCCTACTGGAATTGGTTTCCAATTCGCTTCTTCGATCATTTTGATTCGCGTTTTTAAATAATTAAATTAATAATAACACAACATAACCTCACAAATATGTGCTTACATATGTCAACGTCAAATCGCTAGAAACTAGAAACATGTGGTGGTGGTCACGTGGTGGTGTTGTGCAAGTATTTTTTTCGCTAACAGTTGTGTAACAATTAGCAAAATTAAAGCAAAAAGGTTGATGATTTAATATAAAATTTAGTAGATAATTTTATAATTTAAGAACAATACAATGTATATTTGACTAAACTAGCAAATCTTATCGTAAACTTCTTCTGTAAACTTTTTCTGTCAACTGTCAAATTTCATTCGATTGTATCGATACTACCGTTACATGACAATCGATAAATCGGTTGCCTGAAGATAAATACGATTGTGTTTTTTCCGATACGTCAGAAGTCATAGGTGTCCGATGCGATCCGGTAATCCGGTGTGTGTCGATTCCATACGAATTACGAGTTCACTGTATTATTGATAAGTTAATCGCGTCATATTTGGTTCGCCGACGAAATTACATAAATCTAAAAAAATATTAAATTAAAACGTGATTTAAACGAATCGTAGTCGTTTTAGCGTGATCGGTGACTGTAATTCCAATTAGTTCAATTCAATTTAAATTTGCATTACGAGGAAAAGGACTTTAAAAGGTTGGTATGTTTTCATTAAACCATATTTTTAATCTCTAGGTTACCGAGTCGGAAATAATATTCGACATTCAAGGAAATGATTATCTTTTATTTAAGGATTTTCCTTCTACGGAATTACTTCCGAAATTATTCGATTGCGAAATTTTTTTATAGATAATGAAGAGACTATCTACATTTATTAACATTTCATTTTTCGTTTGCCGATGCCGCTGAATAAATAATTTAATTAAATTTAGCTTATCATTATCATCTAATTGCTTGGTTACAAATATTCAAATACACAATTTGCAATCGATAATCTAAAAAAATGTTTCGATTGTGCTCGGCATGTCGTTGGGATATCCACGTGAGTTTTAAAAATTGAAAAAATGTCGCGTCGAATTACTTAGTTTTGTTATTGTTGGATATTAGCATCTAAAATATGAGCTAATTGCGGAGAGTAATTTTCTGGTATTCACATCATGTAAATCACGACAGTAGAGTGAACTATTTTTTAGATGCTATTCGGTTATTGGCAGGTATGAATTGCATCACAATAATATTAAAAAAAAATTAAGTACCTAAGGAATTTTAAACGATATGTGATAAAGCGTATTTTAAAAATATTTTTTGTAAATCCCAATTAATTAAATGCTTGATGTTCAGATATGAATTAATTAATCTATCGCAGGTTAATCACCAGACGGAATTTATCACTTGAAAAAATACTCGTACTCAAACAAAGTTAGGATTTTTAATAATTCGGTCGATTAAATTTTTGCATATTTTAATTGAGAGTTTGTAAACTTCTGTACGCTATGTTTAATTTCAATAAAGCTAGTAACCTTGGCGACATAATTGCATAATAAAAATGAATTGTTATAATCAACCTAAATTAAAATAATGTCCAATTGAACCAATCTAAAAATCTCGAACCGTTTGCAAAAATTTCCATGCTTCAATTCGGCGAATAACTGCCGGTCATGTTACAAAAAGGAGTATAAGGTATTGGGTAGAGATTTCGGGTAATTTTCGTTTTGTAAAGTTTCTAAGAAAACGAAAAAATTCCTTACAGCTTTTTATTTTTGTAACTACATAAGTATTACGAACGTGCGCATTGGCTTATTTCATATGCTAATTTTATCTATAGCCTACTATTACAGAAAATATCTAATTACATATTATTTTGAATAAATGTTTGTTTCTACTCATTAATTAATTTGGAAAAAAAAACTATGCCATAGTTAGTATGTAAACTGCTTTAACAACTTTCCATTTGGAGAGTATTTGTATTTTCTAACTGTAGTGCGTATTTGAGTTATACCTGCACTTGTAATTAAAAAAAATATGTATATCTAGATGAATGCGTTCTAATTTTAATTAGGAAAGATGATGAAATATTTTACGGAATTTCCAACGTGATTATCATTTATCTGTATCACTGAATAATTTCTAAATTTACATATGTGCAAGAATCAAAACGAGGGAAATTTGCCGAAACCGGTTACCGCGAGTTTTTTTTATCAATTTTCATTTTAATTAAATTATGAATGAAATTTAATTCGGCATTATTCATACTTATCGTTTTTTACTTATTTTTAGAAAGCCGTCGAAATGAAGAGCGAGAATCCCAATAACATCGTTTACAAGGAAGTCGTTATAATAGGTAAAATTTTCTCATTTGCGATTTAGATATGTAGGTACATATATACTTTTTTTTCGGAACAAAAGTGTATTGTTATTTAAATTTTTTGTCGAAACGACGCGTTCATTATCATTTGAAAAAATTTTTATTAGCATAATATTATTAGTTACAACAAAAGAAGTAAATATTAACTCTTCTAAGCTGGACTTAGGTGTTTTTTTTTTAGTATATTATGCTTGAACTTTGAACGCAGCTTGAAGTAGGTAACTGCGTCGTACTAAAATTTCCCAAACATATTACATAACACGTAACTCGCTGATAATTTTTCGGTAACGAACATAATTTTTCGTCCAGGAAATGGCCCGAGCGGCATCGTGCTGTCCTACATGCTGTCCGGGAACGTGCCGTACGTCACGTCTGATTCCCATCCAGACGAAATGCTATCGGCCAGACTCGGACCGATCGTCGGCGACTGTCTCCTCTACCAGGATTTCTCCCTTCTATCGTCCGGCTTGGAGGGCAGATCCACCAACCGCGTCTCCCTCCTGATGGACGCCCTGCTGCACCCGCACGCCGACATGGGCTGGGACCTCGAGCCCCTCGTCGAATTCAGAAAAACCGGCGCCAAGGTTCGTTTTTTATTTCCATAGAGACTGCTATACCAACAAGGCTGCTGGGGATTATTGCTCAAGGTGTGGACCAATACAACATTTTTTTATTTCAGATTGATCACATAGTGCTCGGAAAAGGCCCGCCCGGCGGCTCGTGGCACCGCATGGACCCGCAGATGTTGACGCTGTCGTTGGGCAGCTGGATGGCGCTGCCGGGGATGCCGTTCCACTCGAGCGATTCGGAGGAAAAGCGGGCGTACGCGGCCGACGTGGCCAAATACTACGTCCAGTACACCGATAAGATGGGGCTGGCGAAGAATTTCCGCAACGGCGTCACCGTGGATTCGGTGGACGAGGTGAAGCGATCGTACAAAAGCGACAATTGGGTGGACAAGTTGAACAACGAAATCAAAGGTACGCTGGAGGCGTGCATGGAGAACGAGGAGAACCGAAGCCGGAACGTCATGCGCGACGGTTTCAGGAGGAATCTGAGGAATTCCCGGTGCAAATGCGACGGCGCCAAGCGAAACGACAAGAAACGTTCCATAAGTTTTTGCTGTGATACTAGCGACTTCGATTGTGATAGATTTTATTCGTCGTCGATGAACGAAAAATTGTTTAGGAATTCGTTTACGTTAGATTACAATAAGGTGCCTTCATACAATTCCGCGTACCGTAGCCCGGAAACGAATTGGATCGTCAATTGCTCGGACGCGAACACCGGCGAGAAGATCACCTACGCCTGCAAATATCTGGTGCTGGCGAACGGCAGCAGCGACTCCCCCAACAGGTTGGAGGTGTCCAAAACGAAAGCGGATCCGGCTTGGATGCTGTACGATTTAGGGAATTTGGAAAGCCGGCTGGATTCGTATTTGACTCTGGATCCGGAAGATGTGGATCCTGTGTTGGTGATTGGAGCCGGTTTGAGCGCTGCTGATGCCATCATGGCTGTAAGAGGAAGAAACGTTCCAGTCATTCACGTTTTCAGACAAAGATCGCCGGAATTGAGCCGACATCTGCAGGAAAATTTGTACCCGGAATACCACAAGGTATGTAAAAATTGGTACACAATTTAAAAATCTTTTTCTTAAATGATTTTTCTCAATTTTATTGGCGTTGTGTAAGTTAGGTCAGTCAAAAATAGCCGAGTCATAAATAATTATAGCTAGTCATTTTAGTAAAGTTTTTGTACGTTTACAAGGTCGTCTCATTTTTTTTCTATTTTGTGATGCTTTGGTTTCATATATCAATTTAATGACTTAGTACTTTTTGTCAATATATAATTATGAATTTGCATGAAAACAATATTTTTTTTACCGATTGTCGTCAATCTATTTAATCAATTTCACGATCATTAATTTCAAAATAAAAAAACAGGTTGTTATTAGGTAATTCTATTGTAAATAATATTTAATCTCATTCATTTTTAATAAGTATCTATTTGATTTTGTGATAGGAAATAATTACGTATTAACTTTTACAAGTTCAAGTTTAACTATCTAAATTTTTGATAACCGATTTAAATTTAGTGAATTAAAAAGTTATCTCTTTTAAAATTACGCCTTATAAATTTCTATTACCGCTTAATTACCTAAAATATCAATATATTCTACTAAATTTAGGAAAATATAATTAATTCCAATTTCAAAAAATCGTACATTATCAGTTGAATGCACTGCTATAAATCTGAATAAATGACAAATATTTTGATTCACTTATCTATTAACCATGGATAAATATGAAAAAAATATATAGTAATTGCTGATTTGAAATCTTATAGTGGCGTTTTATATTTAGAAAAGGAAAATTACCGAGCCATTAATTAAATTCGCTGTTAAAATTAAACGTTCCGTTAAATCGATAAAATGAAGCAACTACAATATATTTTCAGAAACTCCTACACAAAGGACTATTACTTGTTCCTTGCCTAGTAACAATATACAGGGTAAGAACCGACATAGAGTTTAAATAAACAACGCATTTTGTGCGTCACTACACGTCCCTGTTCTGTGTCGGTTCTCATGCGGGACACCCTGTATTATACTTACAAATTAAGTTTTATTAAAACAAAGTTTTCAGGGTGCCCCCTGTAGATTCATGCCAGACAAAATTGAGATCTCCTAATTTTGTCTTAAAATGTGTCGCACATAATAATAAAATAAGTTACTCCCTTAATTACTTTAACAAATACCTTTTTGTGTAAGTTCGTGTCCATATTATCCATGGTATAACACTAAAAAACTAAAAAACTAATCTTGTGTTATATAAGAATGAAATTAAATGAATTTAATGTGTTTGTAGGTTCACCAGATGATGCTGGACCCCAGTTCGATTCATCCATATTACACGGCCTATCCGGAATACACTTTGACAGATTTCGACGCCGACGCCAGGACTGTCATTCTGACGTCGAAAGAAGGCGTTAGTAAGAAAATAAACGTTTCGTTCGCCGTCATTCTGATCGGTTCGAGGCCGGACTTCGCCTTTCTGCCGAAGCATTACAATTTGGCCGCCCGTAAGCACTTGTCGTTGGATTGCAAAACCAACACGGCCGACATCGATAGATTAACCTACGGCCTTCGCGGCTTCGATAACTTATTCGCTATCGGACCGATAGCAGGCGATAATTTCGTAAGGTTCTTGCCCGGGGGAGCTTTGGCCGTGACGGCAGAGTTGTATAAAAACAGGAATCCCATGAGAATTTGAGAAATGTAACAATTCGAACGAAAATTAATAATAAATAATCGATTTAGATGCGGTTCTTTTGCGCTGGAAAATCTATCGAATTTGTCTGATTAATTTCGATTTTATTCCGCTAATTGAATTCCCTGTTGAAATATCTAATTGACATTTTTTTAATGTTATTTAGTGATAGCGAATCGAAATTAATTGGACGTTTATTTTATATACGATGTGTTCGTTTTGTACGATTTGAAAAGTTCGCGGTTTTATATTTGAACAAATTCAGTTTCTTCATTTTGCACCTGAAATACTGCCCGTGAACTTTTCATACAAATAGTGCAATGAAATTTACACTTACAATGCTGTGATGGTGCAGTTAATTCTAGTGATTTTACAGAAAAGACGTAATCGATTATTTTTACAGCATTCTAATTGTGAATATAGTATTATTTTTTATAAAAGACAACATATTTTTCGATATTCATTTTTTTATACATTTTGTAGATAAAAGACGATTTATTTTTAGATATGGATAACCGAAAACATTACCAATTTATTTTTTATTCATAATTACATAATTCCTAATGCGGATGAAGAAGTAAAGATATTTTTTATAAGTTACCTTTTAACGATACTACAATGATATTACAGCATTAAGCAAATAACTTGTATTGAATTTTTTTCTACAAAGTTATTGTCTACACTCATATGTTGAAAGCCCAACTTTCCGCACGAAAAATATTTTGCACAACAAATTGTTAAGGAAAAATATGGCCGGGTATTAAAATTGCAGCTAAATGTCAGTATACACATTAACACTTTTCCCCTCACGATGGAAGAAAAGACATTGTGCCTAATTTTTACAGAAACTAATTTTCTTCACTACTCTTTTTACACTTGTTAGTTAAATTTTAAATAACTCTATTTTTTTAAATCAAAAATTATTTTCATGTAATAGAAATTACTGCCTCAGATGATTGAAATGTAAATAATTTAAAATGCAAAATTGTTACAATGTATTAATTTAATTTCTAACATTGGTATGATGTTTTCAAATAAGTGCTTTACATTACTCTGTTATGCTTTCTATAAATTACTGAAAAGCATTAAATAATTTCGTCAATAATATTTACGAATTTCAATAGAATTATTTGTTATTTAGTTAAAAAAGTGTCGAATGTCTGAAGAATAATCTCTTTTGATTTATTTCGGCTTCTTCACCCGCCTAATTAAGTAACACCGTTCTTATCGGTTCCTTTATGATCTTCGCCTTTTTATGTTTAATATGAATGTTAAAACAATTGTTATCTTATGTGATCTGCTCTGCTTATATTATTCTTAAGGGAATTTAATCGTATTTATTGTATGGGATTTTATCGATTGCTAGTGATTTTTTATAATAATGGGTTTTATGGCACATAATTTTTACTAAATATTCTTATACTGAGTGCTTGAAGTGAAACGCCCTGTATAATGTGATAATTAATTTATAAACGATATAAATTACGATTAAATATCCACGTAGAACTACTTAATTGCGCTATTTTTCACTTAGAATGAAATCACCTATTATAACGTTGCCTTTTACAACCTACTTAAGTAGTCTAATACTATTTGATAACGTTAAAATTTGATTGTTCTAAATATTCGTTTTGTTGTTATATTTTACACATTTTTTTGTTGAATCTTTTTAAAATTTGTTACCACTTTAGAAATATATTTTTTAATAAAATGGAAATGCATTGTTTTACTTGAAAAAATCTACTATCTATTTCTACTAGAATTTTATTCTCAAGTATATACTGCTCGATTTGGATAAGCTCGAGTTTAAATGATGAATAGAACACATAATTTATTTCGATTGTAGCAATTTAGAAATTTTAAGTCTTAAAGAAATCTACAAATAATTATTGATTAATTAGATTGCATAGACACCATGTTACTGCAAGTTAGGCAACCCGCATTGCATTAAATTTATGAATCAATGAAATGAATGGAAGCAAAAACGTAAAAATCCAGAGAACAAATAAAAATAATAAACATATGTTTCCTACAAGATATTTTACATCCCCAATTTTGTATAATTTGATCAAATACGTCTCAATTTAGGTTTAGGACAAGACGTACTATTCCAGACCTACATAATTATTTCGAATTTTGTTTTAATCAATAAACCATATCTAGATAAAATAGACACCTACCGGGCCAGAAAATCGTTCCCTTTCGGACCAGTCCATGTAGGCCCTCCTCCGAATCGGCGTTCATGTTCGATATATTCCATACCGGCTCCGACAATGACTATTCTGGTCGACCTCAAGAAAGGATGACGGGCGTCAAGCCGGCCATTTATGGTAGTTTGAAAGTGTTTTCGATCTCCAATGTGGGTTGAACAGCATATGGTCGAAAGATAAATGTTTTTTTTTTCGCAGCAAAAATCGATTTTCATGCGCGAAGCTACCTACCTGAAACAAAAAGAAATTACGAAACACACGAAACGCGCACGAATGCTAATTAATGTCTACATTTTCGCTAAAAAGCATCGATAATTACTACTGGAAAAAGTATATAAAACTTATAATGTGAAATTACTAATCAAATGTCATTGGACTTTATTATGAGGACACCAGACACCACCCCTAAATCTGAACTATTAATAATGAATTAAAATTTATGTAATTAAATATTCAAATGAAAAAATGACTTCTCAGCCTTCCATAAGTATACATAGGTACACGATAGGTATTACGTAATCTACATTACAGAGTCGACGAACCATCATTTTGGTTCAATGCGGTAAGTTGGAGGAAAAATTGACCCTCCCGGTGACGTCAGCTCGCTCGTGATGAATCATAACTGTTTGTATTGTTTGCATGTCGGTGTCTACTATAGTATTCCTAAATAGGTATCGAATTATAGGTCGACAATTTCGACGAAAAAAATAACCCAATATGTGGCATTAAGTCGAATCTTTAACGTTACCCTACAATTAAACTATGTTAAAAATGCTTTAGTTTCGGTATTGAAGGGGGAAATTTTAATTTTTTAAGTAAATTCGTCCTTGTGAAGGAATGTAAATGGTCTTTTGCCGTGCCTTTTATTATTTAATCCTTGAAAACGCCCTAATTTTACGAGCAGAACCTTCATTAAAATATTTTATAATGATGATCCTGTGAATTACTTAACCAACTTATCTCCTAGTAGTTAAGTTCAGTAAATTATCCTGTAAAGGGTCTTTTAAAATGAAAGACGTCTCGAGATTGTTCCATGTGGTAATATAATCACACGATATAATAGAAAATTCCACAACATGCTCCTTTTTCTCTTTATTTCCAATATTTTCCGAGCTCGAAAAGTTCCTTTCATCCCTTTGCATCAAAAGCCTTTTGTGTATACAGCATCATGATAAAGTACAGTGAGGTAACTACAAATTTTCTAATTCTCAAAAATACAAAAAGTAACTAATAATTAGTACACAATAATGTTATTAGCTAATCAATGGCCTACAATTCGAATTAACAATCAAAGATAATTTTAATGAAAGCCATTTCGATGTTAACAGTAATCAGTATAGAAATCCCTCGCTAATAGAACGAATGTAAATTATTGAAATATTGGCAAAAATACTTCAGTGAATCATTTTATTGAAAACAACATTGGCACAACTTGGTACATACAAATGCGACATCATATACTATAGCTTTCGGATTCGAACAAACTCATTTTATCGATTAAATAAAAACGGGATGCGGTCGAAAAACCACGTAGACCGGACGAAAAAGGCGAACCTAACAAATTACATTCGAATTTTGGCGAAATCGTCTCCGTCGAATAAAATCGAATTTATCGTCTCCTGTTAGAATAATTCGAGCTACGCCTACATGCAGCAATAATAGGTAATAGCGACCCTGTATTCGCTAAATGTTAACAACCTTGGTAGAATTTAATATCGCATAGATATGTAAAACTGGTAGGAGTAACGGTTAAGAGCATTATGTTGGTCTATGAGTCCCATTACAATTAATAGATATGTGATATACCTAAAATTATTTTAATGCAGACCCGCATAATAACACCGAAAGGTATCGACAATCTAATAATACCTAGATACATTAAAAAATTGTATACTCAAAAGAGACAGGTTTATCTATTTACTCTACATGCATTTACTCGCCCATATATGGTCTAGTTCAATTTGAATATGTATATCCACATATTATACTATACAATCCTGATGACAGATCTCCTATCTATTTATTTTGACTTTGCCTCATAAAAATATTTGTTCAAAAGTAGCGATGGTCTCATTTGTTATGTTATATGTTATAACAAAGTCATAAGTTAACTGCTGCTTTATTTTGAGTCATATTAAGCTTGTTCCTATACAATATTTGAACAGTTTTGTATGATCTTACTAAGGATCTCACATAGGACCTTTGATGCAGAACTCTTCATTTACTTCACAAATCTTTATTCCAAACTTAAATTTTCCAATTTTCTAGCTCTTCATTACATTTGTAGCTCTTCAGAGCTTTTTAATGCCTTCACTCTTCATTACTTTATAAAGACTCTTCATTACTTTATAAATAAACATACATATCAACTTTTCATTGCCGAATCCTGTTCGAAGGTATATTCAAAATCCATCAGAAGCTTTCTCTCGTGAGCCCCTGCTGTTTCTTTTCGCGCAATTCTCAGAAATACTAAACAATTTCAACACAAGACAGTCTTTGTGATACTAATACAAATCGTAATGCTTCTAGAATCATCATCGTGCCCCGTTTCCCATTCCTTCTTCCTGGTTTGCCATCCATCTGTTCGGTACGTGGCTCCTCTCGCCCCCACGTACGAAAATTCAAACGCAAACGGTTTTTAGAAACTCCCTAATCTGCACCGTAGATGAATCCGGCGCGCACCGTCGGGTGGGGACGCGTATATAAGGAAAGGACGAGGCCGCCGCCATTAACATTTCAGATCGACACAGCGAGTAAATCGTCAGTGTGTTTTCTAGTTTGTTAGTTATTGCAATTACACTTTTATAAATCAAAATGAGGGAAATCGTTCACATCCAAGCCGGCCAATGCGGTAACCAAATCGGCGCTAAAGTAAGTACAAATTTATTTCGGTGTAATTGTCTTTATAAGTAGGCTTTTTTTGTCTGCACCCGGCCATCTTGTGCCTATCCCTATTATTGACCTAAAAAGTTTATAATACCTTATTTGTTTAGTTTTAAATCTCTTGAATCATCTATTAGGGTCTACTGACTATTTCTAGTAGGTATTAGCAGTTTATTATATTTAAAATATGTTGTAAACTTGCACCATCCGACCGGCCGGTCGTTGTATTGATTATCCTGAAAACATCGACTCACGGCTAGGCGTTGTGCAGTTAACGGTTCATCATAAACCTTTCCATTCCGATTTCCACGTTGGGCGTTCGCTAAAATATTTCAAATACGATTCGTGTTACTTCCACAAACGCAACAACAATTATTTTCTCGGTAATGTAAATTTAGATTCGGAAATCTCTGCGGATTCTTCGACTCTGACGCCGGATGTTTTCTGCTAGGGTAGTACGATTTTTAACGGTCAAAAATCGGCGGTTAGCGTGGTGATCTTATTTTAGAATTTTCGTTTGATTAAGCTCGGATAATTAATTAACGGGTTTTTTTGCGATAAATAATTACCGAAGCAATTACACGGTTTAATAACCACGGAGAACCCATCGAAACGATTTACTTGAACCGGTACTTGGCAATTTTTTACACACATCGGTAAGCCGGCTTTGTTCCGAGATGAACGGGTCAACGTTCTGTAATTATAATCGCACAGGGTTTTAGTAAAATATTTGAATTCGTACAAAATAATTTTAGTTTTTTTTACATGATGCGTCGCCTACTAGAATACTAGAAAGGAAAGGTAATTTATCTCGTCCGTTCGTGTTCAAATGGGAGGAAAAGAAAGTAGTCTATTCAAACGTCTAATTATTTCGATCATTCAAATACTGGTTTAATAAGTAGGTTGATTTTATTGTGTGTACTTACTCGTTTGCATTGTTTCTTCTAAATTCGTCGAAAGTAACTGCACATTAAAATTCTTTTGAAATGTCAAATTTGACGTGCGGGATTTTACGTCAGGATTGCCAACTGGTCGAATCGTCGACCAATCAGATAGCGATCGGAGAGAAAATCAGAGCCCACTATGTGTCTGCTTGCGATAAATTGCAAAATTATTTTAATTAATGTCATCGTAACCTGTTTACCCTTTTTTGGTAGCGGAATTACGTAAGCGTATTTCATTCTCATTTCTATATATAGGTGTGATTAACAGCGGTTCGTATGCACTTGATTCACTGTTTCACGAAAATAAAAATCTTCGAATTGAGTTGGTATACTTGTGTTTTATATTACGCCAATATAACCGAACTAATTAATAGTCAATACGGCTACTTAATTGAGGATGTTGCTGGGATTACATATTGAATTTTACACGTCTACTTATTAATGAAGGAAACCTTTATTAGGATGCTAGCTTTTATATTAGATTATATTCAATACTTGGGAATACAGGAATTATACAGCTTGATGCATCTTATTATTTTGCAATATAGGATATGGGTGCGACAAAGACAACTTGAATTAGACACTTATGACGGAAAAAGAAAAGGTGATATTGTGTCATTGCAACTTTCTCACTCTAGCTATATTTTAATAATCATTCCTTGTCCAACTCATACAAATGAACAAACTTTTATACACTTATGTGTATACCATAAATTGGGTAATTAAAAGTTGTTTGGGATTGAAAGTTAGGATTCAATTATTCTATTAAAAGGGGATTAAGTTGTATTTTATGTAGTTTGCACTTCATTATGCTTAGAAATCCTAAAAGGTGTTAAATAATAATGTAAATTTAATGATAGTATTCACCTTGGAACAAGTTTCAAGTCTTATCGAGAAGGCGTAGGAGTTTTAGAATTAATTATTACAGAAAATGATAAAGCAGGTGTATAATAAGAGGAAACAAAATTGTCCAAACGGAAACGATTGCTTTTAAACACCTACATATTCGTAGAAAAATTAATATAAAGTTCACCATCTCCATCATTGTGTAACTAACCAGTAATTTCGGTCTACGAATGATTTGCATATTTGTTTATTTATAGAATCGCTTAAAAATAACGCCTGAAATTTCCGATTGGTTGAACAAATTGTTTTTCTCCGGAATTTTTTTAGTACCATTTCAATCGCTTACATTTTATTGTGCAACATCGTTGAGTCATCAACGCACTAGAACGATCCATTTTGAAGCGGCTGCATGCAGCGCACTAGAATTATCGATTTTGTAGCGGCTGCATGCAGCGCCCTTGGGACTTTTCCACTGGAAAAATCGCCCGACATCCAGAATGTGGTCCTGTCGGGCACGGTGTTCTATCGATCCGGGGACTTTGCTCCTAGACGTCGGAGCGACGAATTCGTCGCGATGCCGGTGTCAATGCTCTGGGAAATCGAATAAATTCCCGTTCTATTTTCGATCGTACTTCCTCGATCCTTACGATCCCCTTAACAATTTTTTCTTTCGTTATTTATGATGGAACTAAAATAGATCGGCTGATGTCACTTTAAAAATATAAACTTTTATCTCCGACGCGGTCGGGTATTAAATCGATAATAATTTTTATGGGACAATTGATCGAATAAAATTGGGTTAAAGTTCAATTAAATTATGTACTAAATTTGGACGATGAACGAATGGTTTTATTGCTTCGTTTTTTTTTAAACGAATTAAACCTGTTATCTTGCGTAATAATTTTCGAATTTATATATACCAAATAAAAAAATAGGTAAAGGTCGACGAAATGCAAATGAACATTTCTCTGATTCCATAAACCAGTTCGTGTCTCACAACCGATCTATAAATAAATTCATTTCGAATAAATTTTTTTTTTTTTTCGCTATTCCAGTTCTGGGAAATAATCTCCGACGAGCACGGCATCGACCCCACCGGCGCCTACCACGGGGACTCCGATCTCCAACTCGAAAGAATCAACGTCTACTACAATGAGGCGTCCGGCGGCAAGTACGTGCCCCGCGCCATCCTCGTCGACTTGGAGCCGGGCACCATGGACTCCGTGCGATCCGGCCCGTTCGGCCAAATCTTCAGGCCCGACAACTTCGTCTTCGGTCAATCCGGAGCCGGCAACAACTGGGCCAAAGGCCACTACACCGAGGGCGCCGAATTGGTCGACTCCGTATTGGATGTCGTACGCAAGGAAGCCGAATCCTGCGACTGTTTACAAGGTTTCCAATTGACCCACTCGCTTGGAGGCGGTACCGGATCCGGTATGGGTACCCTCCTAATCTCGAAAATCCGCGAGGAATACCCCGACAGAATAATGAACACATACTCAGTGGTACCGTCTCCGAAAGTCTCCGATACCGTAGTCGAACCTTACAACGCCACCCTTTCGGTACACCAATTGGTAGAAAACACTGACGAAACATACTGCATCGATAACGAAGCTCTCTACGACATCTGCTTTAGGACATTGAAACTAACAACGCCGACCTACGGTGACTTGAACCATTTGGTTTCTCTCACAATGTCCGGCGTAACGACTTGCCTCAGATTCCCTGGTCAATTGAACGCCGATCTGAGAAAATTGGCCGTCAACATGGTACCCTTCCCGCGTCTGCACTTCTTCATGCCCGGTTTCGCTCCACTCACCTCCAGGGGCAGCCAGCAATACAGAGCCTTGACCGTACCCGAATTGACCCAACAAATGTTCGATGCCAAAAACATGATGGCCGCTTGTGATCCTAGACACGGAAGATATCTAACCGTTGCCGCAGTATTTAGAGGTAAAATTACCCTTAATAAAATCTCTATTAAACGTTTTAACTCGCATTTTTTTGTCGAATTGCAGGTAGAATGTCCATGAAAGAGGTTGACGAACAAATGCTCAACATCCAAAACAAAAACAGCAGCTACTTCGTCGAATGGATTCCCAACAACGTTAAAACCGCTGTTTGTGATATTCCTCCTAGGGGTCTCAAAATGTCCGCCACGTTCATCGGTAATTCTACTGCCATCCAAGAATTATTCAAACGTATCTCCGAACAATTCACCGCTATGTTCAGAAGGAAAGCTTTCTTGCATTGGTACGTTGCGCTTACGTTAAAGTGATGTTGTCTTTTACTTACGTTTTCGTTTGTCCTTAGGTACACTGGTGAAGGTATGGACGAGATGGAATTCACCGAAGCTGAATCGAACATGAACGATTTAGTGTCTGAATACCAGCAATACCAAGAGGCCACCGCGGACGAGGACGCCGAATTCGATGAAGACCAGGAAGCCGAAGTCGACGAAAACTAAACGTTGATCTGAAATCATGTCATTTATTTTAATCTTTCATTTCATTTGCATTTGTGTTTTTTGTACAGTACATTCCCGTATATTTTTTTTGTAAGTTCTCGGAGTAGGCTGGTTTTCTGTGAAGGAAAGGCCAACTGATGGGTTTCCGTTTTGTTTACAGAAAATCGGTTCGTAACATTATTTGTACTATTGTTTTTTTATTGAAAAATCATTAAAACTGCTATTAATTATATATTGTGTTTTTATTAAAAACTAATTAAAATACCTGAACGTAATAGAAATAATTACACAGCCTTTGTCGTTAGTTTTATTAATAGAGAAATCATGAATGATATGATTAATGCAAATAATTACTCTTAGTTATATTTAATAACCAGAGTAAATGCAACCTTCCTCTTTAGTAAAAATTTCTTGAAAAAATCAAAGGTAATTGATTTTTTTGATAAACAAGTCAAACAGATTTATATGGTTGTTTGCAATATGGTCAACATAGAGAAAGAAAGATTTTATTTTGTCAATGATGGTCAATGTTGAACAAAGCAAGAGTATTAAAATGACAGTGATTAGAGTGAGTGTTGCAATCCCACAATATCACTTTCTTTTTCCTTTATATGAGATTAATGGAAATTATCTTTATTGCACCTATTATATAGACCAAATTGCGTACAAATTTGCACTTGTATATTTTTTGCGTGATTTATTTGCACATATATGGCCTTGTACTATATACCTATACATCTCAAATAAAAAACCATTTTTATGTAAAAAAAGATTGAATCGAAAAGAAGAAATGACATAACGAACGTCAAAAAAAAACAGTCAATTCTAATGACATTTGACATTTACGCATTATTTATCAAGAACTGTGTATTTGTATTCCACTCTATTTCACAAAAAAGAATAATAACACAATTTATTCTAAAATTACAAAAATAATTAGCTTATATTATAATCATGGAAGTAGAATCAGGTAAGTACATCTAGTTGCCATCACGTACAGTACACTGAATTTCCCGTTTTCAAGAGGGTCACAATAATCTGGAAACCACCGTTGATAAGCCCCATTCTCCTGCTCGAAGTGGGGCTTCGCGATCATCTTCCGTTGCATCCGCAGCGTCCAGATCGGCCAGTCCAGATATGAACGGTAGCGGCGATATATCCAGACAGTCCCGTTCTCGTTCTCGAAGTAACTCGAGACCACGTAGCGCAGCCAGTTCGAAGTCCTCAAGGTCCCGCTCGGGGTCTCCCCGTTCGCGCAAATCCCGCAACTCCAAATCCAAGTCGAGATCCAGATCTCCTTCAGGTTTGCTTGATTTTCCTTTGTAACGAATGAATTTGTAGACGTTCAAATTGTGATTATTAGGTGGTCCTAAATCTCCCAGCGGTTCTGCAAGAGCAGCTTCCGCAGACTCACAGAGATCGCGTTCCGGGTCCAGAAAATCGCATTCGAGGTCTCGATCAAGATCTAATTCTGGCTCACGAAAATCCAAATCGAGATCAGCAAGTCCGCGTAATAGAGATGCTAGATCAAAGTCAGGTTCGAGACCTTCCTCTCCAAAGGCTGCGTCGAGATCTAGTTCTCCCTCTGGTTCAGTTAATGGTAAAGAAAGAAAATCCAGATCCAAATCTAGGTCTCCAAAAGCATCATCTAGATCGCCGAGTAAAGATGAATTGAATACCACAAAATCCCCGCAGAGAGCGGCTTCAAGATCACGATCCAGATCAAAATCTCCCATGTCCACTAGAAAATCCAGGTCTCGTTCAGGTTCTATGAAACGAGCCTCAAGATCCAGATCCAAATCGGCGCGTTCTAGATCGGGCTCAAGAAAATCAAAGTCCCGTAAGTGCCTTAAATTCTTTTATCGGCACATTTATGAGTAATGTAACATTTAGGTTCAAGATCCCGTTCAGTCAGATCGAGATCAGGCTCGCGCAGATCCCGTTCGGGTTCCAGAAGGTCACGGTCCGGTTCCGCAAGGTCCAGATCCGGATCCCGCAGGTCTAGATCAGGTTCTGCGAGAAGCAGATCGGGCTCCAGAAGGTCCAGATCCGGCTCGAGGAGGTCTAGATCGGGTTCGAGGAGATCCAGATCGGGCTCAAGAAGATCTAGATCAGGCTCAAGGAGATCCAGATCAGGCTCGGCGAGGTCTAGATCGGGTTCGAGAAGATCCAGGTCCGGTTCGAGAAGATCCAGGTCCGGTTCGAGGAGATCCAGGTCGGGATCGAGGAGATCCAGGTCCGGTTCGAGGAGATCCAGGTCAGGATCGGCTAGAAGTAGGTCGGGCTCGCGAAGATCTAGGTCTAGATCGGGTTCAGCAAGAAGCAGGTCGGGTTCGAGGAGATCTAGGTCGGGATCGAGGAGATCTAGGTCCGTTTCGAGATCGAAATCCCGCTCTAGATCAAGGTCTAGGTCCCCATCGGACATGGAAGGTAAATGTATTTATTTATTTATCTGTAAATCGACATTTACATGTTACAATTACCGTAGGTACTACAAGTAGAAAACGACATATGCTATCAGATTCGGAGAATGAAGGGGAATCATCGGCCAAAATAAAACGAGCTGTTGTTAGCGATGATGAGGATGCGGAACAACAACAAGTTGTTCCCGAAGAACCGGCTCCTCAACAACCAGATTATGATTCTGACGATGATAGAGTTGGGTTAGTTTTTCTTATTGCAATCCCCTAAAGTTAAAGTATTTAATAACTGGATAATTTTTAGTATGAACGAGCACAGCGGATTATCAGATTTCGACATTATGCTTCAAAGGAAGAAAGACTCAACGAGGAAACGAAAGCGAAGAGATATCGATATAATAAACGACAACGATGATATTATTGCGGGACTTCTCGGCGATATGAGAAACGCTGCAGATGTAAATTTAGTGCAAATCAAAGAGATATTAGAGTTGTATTATACTTAATTAAATTTCAGGACGACCGTAGACTCAACGAACAACTCAAACCGGCTACCAAAAAAATCGCCATGTTAGCAAAAGTGATGTCCCAACTGAAAAAGCACGACTTACAATTGGCTTTTATCGAACACAACGTGTTAAATGTATTAACCGACTGGCTGGCTCCGATGCCGGACAGATCCTTGCCCTCGTTGCAAGTCAGAGAACAGTTATTGAAACTTTTAGCCGAGGTAATTTCGCGAAATATTAAATTAAATACCGCATTTAACGTTTTGTTTAGTTCCCTAGAATCGATCAATCGACGATAAAGCACTCGGGCATAGGTAAGGCGGTGATGTATTTGTACAAACACCCAAAAGAGACTAAAGAGAACAGGGAAAGAGCCGGACGACTGATTAGCGAATGGGCCAGACCGATATTCAATCTATCGACAGATTTTAAGGGTAATTAACGATTAATTTAGAATCTCCGTTAATTAATATAATCGATTAATGTTGTAGCTCTTACTAGAGAAGAAAGAATGCAAAGAGACTACGAACAAATGGGTAGCAAGAGGAGGAAATCCGAAGACGAGGTGTCAGATCGAAAAGAGCTCAATAAAGCTCTAAATGCGGAAGGAAAGTAAGTAAAATCATCGAGTATCGTTAATTTTTTTCTACAATCGATCGATTTTCAGACCTCTTAGACCCGGTGATAAGGGTTGGGTGGCCAGAGCGCGAGTGCCGATTCCTTCGAACAAGGACTATTTAGTACGCCCGAAGTGGCAGAGCGAAGTCGATATTAGCAGGGTAAGTTTGATGATAGCGCGCGTTGGAATATATTGAAGTATTTTTTATCAAATAGTCGTCGAAGAAGTCGTTGAATAGATTCGAAAGGCACTACAAGAACTTCGTAGACGGCAAGAGACTAAAGCAGACCAGGAGGGCTGTCGAAATTTCGATCGAAGGGCGGAAAATGTCCTTGTAAAAAATATCCTTTAATATTTACTTTCGAATTTTATTTTCTATGCAAGTTGTTTTCGTGAACGAGTTTGTTAAATTGTAATATAGATACAATTAGTAGCGACTTATCATTTTTTCTCTAGTAATAAGAAATAATTGTTCGTTTTAATTTAATAATGAATATAGAGTTATTCTGAAATATAAAATATGACCGAGCATTCGATGGAATATTGTTTTTGTACATGTAGAACAAATAAAGTGGGTGAGAAAATTCATATAACGGTGTTTTATTTTATATTCCTCGCGATTACTAAATCTATACTCCATTCGCTATCAAGAGGAATCCCCCCAACTCATGAGATTGTTTTCTGACTATTTGTAAACACTATACAGGGTCGCCCAGAAATAGTTTACTTATTCTAGAGGTCAAAATAAGTTGTTTGGATTAATAAAGATGTACCTACACTCCATTTGCCATCAGGAGGTAATAAAACCTAATTTTGTATGCAAAAAACAGCACGAGTGTCAACGAAAAAATAATATTCCAAAATCCTGATTTTAGGATATTAAATAGATACTATATGAACTGCTTCAAGAAGATTGTATTACTATCTCCTGATGGTGAACGGAGTATAAAATGTTTTAGCAAATATTTCAAACGAATTTTAAGATGCATTTAGGCCTGAGCACGACCTAATTTTAGCTAGCTAACTCTAATCTGGCAGTTTTTTATTGACTGGAATAATGAGTTTCAAAATTGGAGACCTTGTAAGAAACCAATCCTTCCAGTCATGATAGTGATTCATATATCAAAATTGCGTTGCTGCCGATAGTGCATTAAGCAGATTAATTTTAGACCTAAAACCCCGTTCGATAATTTTATATAGGTACGGGTAATGAAAGATTTTCTCCGGATAGCGTAATTTTAAAAAAGTAATTTCCTGAACCGGGATTCTACAATAATTCTATGAAACCCGGGAATACTCATCATAAATTCGTTCCCGATAAGATACACTATCTAGTCGAGAATAAATTGTATAAAGTCGAGTGTTCTCCAAACGCCAATTTGTATTTTGCATATATGCTAAACCTCTCCTAAAGGATATCATTCTCGAATGGGGCAGTGACCGGCTACTTCCGGGTTACTGGACTCACAGCCCCTGAAAATATAGCCCTGAAAGTCTTTCAAGTACTAAACATTACCGTAATGAATGATGTATGAGTCCCTAATAGATGTAAATTTACGAAGAAAATTCGCTGCTCGAAATTTCAAAACGTTTGATGGTATTCTTGATAGGTCAAAAATATCGCTTAACCCACTTTTTTTCAAACGAAAAGGGCGTTTAATTAAATTCGCACAAAAGAGGGTATTGTTGAAATTGTGAATTCGATACTTATGAAAACGTGAGAATCGCCACAACTGACTGATTATTAATCACAATGATCGATCATCAATCATTGCAAATAAAAATGCAATGAATACAATCAAAAATTACGTAGGTACCTATTTATTATTTGGGTCGAGAGTGATTGATAATTTAAATTCGCCGAGCATATCGAAACTTTCTTAGATATTTTCGGTAAATTGGCTATTTACCCTAGTTCGTAAACATAGTTAAAATCTAAAATTACCAAAAAATCCCTGAAACAAGATAATTATAATTATTAATAAACTTGTTAAATCTCACAGAGAATCTAGTATTCCCAAAGCCTCTAAAAGCAATCTAAAAAATGTATCCAAAAACATGAAAGAGTTCTCTGAAAACAATGAAAAACTTTCAATATCATTAAAATCGTTGATGAAAAAATAAACAAGATCATGAGATAATTACGCAGAAAATCAATCGACAATTTTCTTTTTTAAATCATGCGAAAAAACTATATCATTGAAAAAAATAATTTATTGCAAAAATCATTTAAAATGATGAACCCTTACAAGAACTTCCCAAAATCTTACCCATATAGGATCATGGAAAAACTAACAAAATCATTTAATAAAATCATTGAAATGACAAAAATAGTCATTTAAAATGATGAAAAAAGCTCTTACAAAATCCTCCCAAGATCATGAACTGAAAATCAAAACTTCTGGAGAATAATTGAAAATCGTCTATATTGAAATTATTCAATAAATACCAAAAAAAAATAAACAAAACAATGCGACCCATTAAACAAAACTCTCTTGTATCCAGTTTAAAATATCAACGAAGCCATCACCAGAATAATTAGTCACAGTCACGGCCCGAGAGCTCCCCTGATCGCCTCTTCGGCCAATAGAAGAAGAAAAAAAACGCAAATGGGAAAAGAAAGAACAGAAAAAAAAGCCGGAGAAAACGTTTCCTTTCCCGCGACGTACGCCGTGGCGTCGCGTGGTGTCCGGGCCCAGCAGAAGGGGATGTGTTAAAAGCGACGCAAGTAGGGCGTCTCAGGAGGTTCTTCGGTCGCCCGAGAGCCGCACACGACGTCTTCTAGAGGCGCTGCCTTCGGCCGTTTAGCGTTTATCATCAACACTTTTAGTTTAAGTCGTGCCGCGCCGCGATGGTTTAGTTTTTCGCGGATTTTTCCAGGTTTTTTTTCGGATAGCGATTTTCGCGCGGTGCAGCAGGTTTTTCTTTTGGTTTGGGATGGTTGCGCCCCGCTTCGCACTCAATCGGTGGTTTTGACGTAAGTTTCGTTGATGCTTTATTTTCTAATAAATATGCAAATGTTTGAAAAATCAATTTTTCTTCATTACGAACGCCTGCATACTAAAAACAATAACTAATGAGCTTCACTAATGCAACGTTTTTTAATGTTTGAACACTTTTGTTTTCACGTTTTTCGTATTTCAAACACGTGTAAACATCAATTAAAGAAGCGTCGTTTTTAAAACGCGATTTAATTGCAGTTTGATCACTCGATTACCCTAAAATTTCTATTTTATATCGCCTTTCTTTACTCCTATTAACATGCACGCTTTCTTGTAATAATTTACTAAATTTCGTTAATTGTTCATTACTAAATTAATTACCGAAATTTCCGCCTACTTTTAATTACAACGCAATTGTGGTTAATAATTTTAATTAAAATTTCACAAGGAGCGGTTCGCACTTATTTATATTTATTGATTGTTCAAAATTGGTTAATTTGTTGCTCTTCCTACACATCAATTTATTTCAAATTACTTGTACATCAATTAATTATAGACAAGCACACACCTATAAGACAATATTAATTATTTGAGAATTAAAAATAAAATATAATTAGATAATTATTGCTATTTTACAAACTAACAAAATTATATTTCCATATTTTGCAAATAAGAGATGAATAAATTTTCTTCTTCCACAGATATTCTACACTTTAGAAATAAAAAATATGGAAAATATTTAAAATATGGAAAAATAAAGAAAACAAAAGTAGAATTCATAATAATGTACCTATTGTATTTTATTTAAGATATATTAGGAAGTGAAGTATTATCTCGTTAAAATTGCATGTCACAATTAATTTTTTAATCTACTGAAGAAGAAAATGTGTATAAAGAAATGTCGATTTCACTTTCTGAATTAAGCTTTAATTAAGATCAAAATGCATTGTTTCTTCGCTTTTTAAAAGTTGTCATTGTTTTTGTCAATCGTACCGTTTCTTCCTAGTCAAATATTTTTTTTATTCTAATTTACATGCACAATTAATTTGAAATCTTTTATACATTACAAATTTAATAGTGGAGAATAATAATATAAACTTATCATTATCTACGGCACTTAACGAAGTGTAGATATCAATTAATAATTTTATCTCTTGTTGAGTGCATTTTTCGTGCAATACAATTAATATAAATTTAGAAATTTCTCCAATAAATTAATAAAGAAAAACGCAATGAGCACAGTGTGTAGATATAGGAATACACAATTGCTAATCTAGATTTGCCCCTTAATGAGTGACTTTCTAATTATTATGAAAAAAAGTAATCACCTATCATGAAATAAGTCTTCGAGTTCCAATTATTATTTAATTATTGCAAGTAATAGATGTGCACTGAGTTGTGTATTATAGAACGTTTTCGAACGTATGAACTAATTGCGCCACAGGTTCTGTAGTTTCTACCGTTCAATTTCGATATACAATAAAATGCGTATTGAAATTAACATTTTGATGAAACACCTGTCATGACTGAATTTTTATGTAAAAATTTAATCACCGTGAAATGAATAAAAAATTACGTTCTTTTGTGGACTCGGAAGGTGAAGAATAAGGACTAATAAAACTTGAAATTGTACAAATCTTGGCCGAATAAACACTCGCCTTGAAAAGAAAGAATTAATTAGAAGCAAGAAATCGATAAAGACCGAAAACAGGCCGTTGCGATATATATTTAACTGTTACATTCAATATTAAAAACATTAATAGCATTTGATATATTTTGGCTGAGGAATTTTATAAATATATCTTAGTTTTGCGGGTCTCGTGCCCGCAATTTCTTATCCCTTTCAATCAGAGTTATATTTTAACTGAAAATTACGAGTGCATGTTCACTTACCCAGCTGACCAACGATTATTCGATTATCTGGCAAATTTCATTGCCAACACAGAACACCGGGTTTTCCGATAAAAATACTCTAGTGTGCTGAAAAAATGAAAAGAAAATAGGTATCAAGGCTAAAATTAAAACAGCATGTTCCCCAAATTTGCGAATTATGTTAAACGTGGCAACTATGCATCAATACGATGAATTTGCCATGTATCTCTAAAATCTGAAATCTGGGGAAATTTGTAGATATTTGTAGAATTTTGTAGATTGACAGTAATTTTTATATCGCATGTTTAAACGTATAGAGAAAACACAATCGAATGAATATTTATTGTTAAATTAATAAAACTCCTCGACACGAATAATTTAATACTAATATCATAGAATGGTTATTTATTAAGTAAAAATTTCGAAACCTTAATAGACCGAAACTACCCTAATGATACTTGTGAAACATCCTCTGTGCAATATCCTTGATCACCGAGTTTTATCGCAATTAATCCCGGTTTGCCGGTAAAAATTAATTTATCGGCAATTTCCCAATAGAACGGTTAATTAAAAGCGGCTTTAACGGTATTAAATCAACAATAATTAATCAGTTTTTAGCCGCATGTGTAAGAGGAAACACTTTCGATGTAGCTATACACATCTGCATGAAATTAATTAACTACACTTGATTAAAAAACAAACGCAATTAGTCTTTGTTATGATTGATGTTCGGTAAAAATAGTCGTGGGGTGGCGAGTGATCAAAGCAATTTAATTTGTATTTAATAATGAGATGTTTTCATTGTAATTAATGGTAGTTAATATTTTTTTTCGGTGACATTTTAGTACAATAAACATTTCCAAAAACTTGGCAAGAATTTGTTTCCTTTTCGCCTGTAGGAAGTATAAAGTTTTTCAAATAATCATTTGCATACGGTTGAATTTAAATTATTTCGATATCTACACGTATTTTGGGGCTACACCAGAAATAGCCTGAATAGGAAAACATAGGTTTTGATTACAAATGTAGCATCTACATTGTATTGCTTAATTAACAACCTTGCGTTTTTTTTGTAACATTTTCGCTTCGTTATTTTAGCGTTTAATGATTTTTCTATAACATCAACAGTTCTTTAAATGGAAGGAAAAAACCGTATAGGGTAATCATCGTTAATTTGCATATTTACTGCGTTCTCTTAAATCACCTGTTCTTTAAAAGAAACAAAGTACTTATTACGAACTATTACCATTAAATATTAGTGTACTGTTAACTAAATTTCATTCCTATACGATTTACCACGTTCTAATTCACCCGATAATATACGCCTGTTCGCTTTAAAAAGCAACTCTAACGAGTTTAAATATGCGAATTTGATTGTTGTCAATCATTTCTATTACACGGTTTTATTTTAAGGGTAAAATATAACACGTCGAACGCCACAACAATTTTTATTTTATGTTGTAAATATTCGAGCACAAAAAACTCATTAAGCGTACGTTAACTGTTTAATTGCATATTATGGTGTATGCTCGCCTACCGAGAAGAGATTCTTCGCATTAAATGATCCATGAGTTGTTCTTTTATGAAAAAACTTGTGCTATGTAATTACGGGAATTCTAAAGTTTGGATGTAATTCCGTGGCATTTACCTGTAGGACGAGATATTTGTCACCATTCGTGGTTCAATAGACGGATACTAATTCTGGATAGGCTACGTTTTATATTTAGAAACGAATGAAGGGAACATCTTGTGTATTCCACTTTAAAGTAAATTAAGTCTGGTCTTAATAATTTGTCGGATGTAGGTTTTTCGTCGCCTTTCACCGATAAAAAATAGAGGGTTATTAACGCACGGATATTTATAGAAACTCGAGGCGAGAACCTCTGCAGGAAGCGCATTGTAAATTATTACAGTACAACACAACCGGAAGAATATTCTACTAATAATAATCGAACTCCTTGCCGTAGGTACGAAAGGTGGACAAACGAAACATTGTTGGAATGAAACCCACATGTCGTAATCGCGAAATTCCACGATGCGACCGCCAGACAATCGCCAACTCGCCCCGCCTAGAGCCGGAAAGCAATTCGAAGATGAGCTCCAATTGCACTATCTATCGCCCGGAGCGTTCACCGTCCTGGCCCCGGACAACCGGAGGCGACCCGACCCGCCACCGGCACCAGAACCTTACAGGTAAATTTACCAATCATCAACTCCCAGCTTACCTCCACTATCATCTTCAGAAGGTAACTTGGTAATGGTCTATGATAATAATTATATTATCATCTGGTATCATCATCAAGTATACCATTAGGTTATATTGTAGAAATTATATTGGTAATAAAATTAGCTTGTTAAAACACCAAATAATAACATTTTTTTATAAAAACTACCACTTGTATTGACGCCATTTTTCTCATTTAGCTCGCGGGAAACCCCAAGGTAAACCACTTCTTATAAACATCAACTCTAATACCAACTTTCTTTCTAACACTGTTACGAATTACTACAAAAAATCGGATAATTTTTAGGTACACCTCGACGACCCGGCGCAATAAAAACCAATCGTTCGCCGTCATAGCGGACTCGGACACCAGCCGGCCGCCGTCGAGGAGCTCGTCGCCTTCGGGCCGCGTGAGCCCCTTCAAAGGGCGCGGATTCAACCCGGCCGGGTCCAGGCACGCCTCGCCGCCGCCGCCGCCGGAGGACGTGCGGCTCAGCCCGCAGACGCTCTCGCCCAAGCACGCCTCCAAGATACCCCAGCTGAAGAGGAAGAACAGCAACTGCGCCTTCGGCGAGAAGGTCCACCATCACGACCTTCCCCCAGCGCAGAAGAGGATTAACAAGAGATTGAGCCAAAGTTTGTCCGATATAGACACCGATTCGGATCGAGCGCTACAACAGAGAGGTAGACCACCGCCTAATCCTACTAGAAAGCCCGTCTACAATAAACAACCGGCGTTCCAGAGGCTTTCTCCGATAGTAGGTAAGTTCAGATCAAATCTCCTCTCAAGTAGAAGATACATTTAACTTTCTTATAGGCAGTTCTCCAGAACCCAGCGTAACATCGCCGTCTAGAATACCAAGGAGTCGCAGTACGCCGCCCAGCAGGAAAACCTCGCCGACGAGGGGCGGCGCTCATTACCGCCCTCCTCCGGCTTCTAAGACGTCAGTGTTGAGGCGCTCCAGGAACCGGATGAACACCACCACCAGCTCCAGCAGGGACTCCAGTCCGGTGAAGAATGTGGCGTCGCCGACGCGCGCTTCCTCCAGGAAATACAAAAACGTGCAGGCTAAAGTGAACTCGTTCAGCAAACCCAAATCAAAAGTGCTTCCGAAGGACCAGTCCGACGAATCCGACGCCCCGACCGCCCGACAGAAACCCCCTCTGACGCGGAAAGATAGTACCAACCGATCACAATCTAACCTATTGCCAAATACGATAATGCCTTCTAACAATAATTACACTAGTGATAGTTCTTCTAGTACCGTCGTTATTACCAAGAATCCCAAACCCGAGGAACTCGTTGTTATGAAACCTAATACTAACAAACCTAGTGAAGTTACAACAGAATCTGATAAGATTACTAAAAACACTAACACTCCCGCTAAAATTCAACTACCATCCACCACAACCGTGGTGTCTAACACCACTTCCACGGTCGCCCAACCGCTGAAAATCGACGCCAGAGTACCGCAGTACTACGAGGAAACCAGGGCAATCTCCCCGATGGTGGACGGGAGGGTGTTGAGCGCCACCAGCGTGACTCACGCCATCAACAAAATGAACGACACCGTGCTGGACACCCAGACTCTCATGAAAGACTCCCACCATTTGTCGAAGCTATCCCCAGCGGCCAGTGCTATCATATCCATGGCGAACGAGAGCAAGCCGGAGCAGCCCGAGGGCAAGTTCACCACGACCGCCTTGCCCAAGGTGGAGCCGGTGCACAAGCCCGTCAATCACGTGGTGCACGTGATGAGCTCCAGGCAGCTGGAGGAGGAGATCCAGAAGCACATGCACAAGTCGGCGGATTTGACCAAGCCGGTGAACGACAGGGTGAAGGAGGCGCGGACTGTGGTGGCTTCGGACGTGAAACCCATCAGGATAACGGTGAGGGAGAAGCCTTCGGATGATGGAGTGCAAAGCGGTAACGTCAGAGTGGCTAATGGATTGGGATCGAACGACCGGCCCGGGTGAGTTAAGTCGGCTGTAATTTACGAATTAGCGCGTAATATTTTTGTGAATTAGTCGCTTTCGGTGGGTTATCGATGCGGCGAGATCAACCTACTGCGAATAAAAGTTTTATTGCCACGCTATTTTCGGTATTTTTTTTTCGGTTTGTTTAAGGATAAATTTGTTTTATTTTTCGCCCTGATTGGGTCAAGGATATTATGTATTATTTATCTGCAATAATTCTATTCTTAAGACCACTGAAATAAGGGCACACATTTTATCTACTTATTTTATTTTTTTCATTCTTGTGAGGTCTTGATATCAAACATTATTTGACACGTTAAATTTAATCATCCGATATATCAATCATTTATTAAACGAATCATTACTAATTGGTTAAAAATAAATAGATTTTAAATTTTAAAAAAAGCATAAAATAATTACCCTTTAATTTTCAATTCAAAAATTACACAAAATATCAACTCATTTAATAAACTAAAATCATTTACTCAGTAAGTGTACTTTATCAGAGTTGTGCTATAGTTAAATATTTCGAAGTTACTGCTCTCTGGCGATCGACAACGAATTAAAATGAGGTCTCGCAAATCCTTTGTACGTAAATATTACTTAGAATTAATATTATTAATCCAGCATTTCAGCATAAATAGCGGGAGTATAATGTAATGCGAAGATTAGGATCTGATAATAACCGTGTCGGCGTTGTCCCGTTCCCTGCTATTCGTGAATAATGCAATTAATAGTCGGTGCTTTAAAGGCAATCTTTTGGTAAAAAATTCGGCGAAGGTGGACAATCGAATTTCATGTAAGAAATGAAACATGTAAATAGACTAGGATTGTCGCGTGACCTTTAGCAATATCGCAATAACGACTCACGTGAGTTACCCTGGAAAACTGACCCTCGAGGATTTTGCTAGTGTTAAGTTTTTTTTAGTACATATTGGGAATTTCTGTTTTGTGAACGTTTACACGGTATTTAACGGGGTAATTTTAGGCGATTACATTTTAGAAACTTTCCAACAAAAAGCGGAAATATTTGCCACTAGTTTTATATTTAGCATGTCCATTTATATATAATATTTTTTTATTATGATTTAACTGAAATAATACAGGAAATAAAAAATATCTATATGCTTTTTCAAACAAATACTTCAATTAAATAATACGTTGAGAATATTAAGAAACAAAATATATGATATAAAAATTAAAGGGAAAAAAGGTATTTAATCATACGCACGGATTAATAAACAAATGTCACGAAATTGACCTATAAATTAACCATATCCCCTCACAAAGTCCGAATAGGACCCCTATTTTACTAATTTAATTTTATGCATACGGTTGTATATGAGCCGTAGCCTAAATTTAGCGCCTATTGGGGTTAGTGGTCCAGCGAAATCCATAATTCAAATGATGAAATTCGCGTTTTGTGCGTGCCTACATTTTTTAAGATCCACAAGATTAAAATGCACCAATGAAAAAAAAACTTTCGAAATTAACACACCTAATAAACTTCTCCTCTTCTTGCATCGTTAATAATTGAAAGAAAATGACTTAGTTTGAAAAATAAAAAATCCACATAAAAAAATCTATTACCTTTCGCACAAAGTAGCGAAATTAAATCAAGTTAACGGCCTTCTCTAAGTGGTAATTATTATCGAACGGCGACGCACAAAGGAAATTTTATGCAACGGAATCATTAATCACGAAAATTCGACAACTACACAAAGATTTTTCCTCCGCATTCGATTCCGTAAACTCGACGCGTAGACACTCCCATCGAAGCCAACAAAGAAACTGTATTAATATGTATGAAATGTATCGATCCCAACATCGCGCTTTTTGCAAAAAAAGGGTCAGTTGTATTAATAAAAATTATTTCACTCGATTTCGGAAAATCAGGGGGCAATGTTGAGTTAATATAGGCTTTATGGGTAGATTTTTATTCAAAGTATTAGCTGGTGGAGTTTGAGGAAATTCTACTAGCGAAAAAGGATAGTTTTTCATTTTTAATTTATTATTAAGTTTATGTGTATAGTATCAAGTTAATGTGCATTAATTTTGCAAAAAATAATAAAACATATGCATTTAATACATTAGAACTTCCCTAAGCAGGCCTTCATTGTTTCCTCTTTTCTGTTGGTAATTTTAATTTGTAATTATTTTTTAATACTAAAATTAAAGTGTACGAAAAATTAGAACCCCCTCTTGTATCATTATAACAATGAACCGTGTAACCCTGACATGAATTATTATACACTGTATAGGGAAAATGATTATAGCGAATTCGAGTATAGGGCACCACAAACAGGACCGGCTTCATTAAACAAACCATTTAAAAAAAATAATTAAATTTGTGCGAACCGAGTTTCACTCGTATTGAATTTCGAACATTTATACTCTATGCTAAGGGTAATAGAATGTATACAAATATTGCATTTTTATTATCGAAAGCGATTACATCGCTTTTGCAAAAAAAACGGTCCTGATATAGGTGTTTTCTTCGAGTTTTCTTAATACTGGATTGCGTGATGATCGCCTGGAGTGGCCGGCAAGTGGAGAATAGCGTGATTGATATTAGAAATGCATAGGCGTACTTTTTATAATACAAATACGACGCAAATTAACATTCAAACCCTTTAACCCCTAGAAAGTTAGTGAATTAATTGGCTATTAATACACAAAAGATATAAATTAAGAGAAAGACTCAAGTAGTTTCTTATTGTTGAAAGCAAGCTCAGAAGTAACTCAAGTAAAATAACCAGTACTTGTTAAATCAAAACCAGCTACAGGAGACATTGATGGATACAAATTCAAACCGATAGAACACAATGGAAGAAATACCCACTCGTTGCTTAAACTTGATGTGCGAGATGGTAATAAATCACGTCCAGTAAGCGGCAATTAATATGTATGAGGGCTGGCGAAATCGATAGAAGAAGGTGTACGCCAATGAGTCCGTAGGTAAATGGTTTGGCCGTTGTCCAGCCGATATAGCGAAAGACTTTTCGACCGCATTGAAGTCGCGAGTGGTGTTATCGACGACGCGAATGTGACTTTCCCGTTCTCAGTTTTTTTGTCCTTGCCGAAGAGGAAAAGGGCGAATTTTCGTTAATTTAAATTAGAAATAAGCAGGAGTGTGTGTGCGTTGATCATTTCATTTTTTTTTTGAAAAAATCGCATACGTTTGAGTTTAGAAATGACCCTCATATCAGTGAGCGTTATCGACAAATATAAATGGTATTATATATGGTCGTTTTAGTTCGTTGTTTTACTGCGTTTTTATTAATTTTTCGCTTGTGTATTTTCACGTTGTTCGTTTCACCCGTAATTTTATGAAAATTAAAATTCTAATTGAGTAATAAGAAGTCGATTTTTTTGTAGTGTTAATAAAACGCACTGATTTTCGCACATTAATCGATCCAGTATGAAGTAGATTTATTTCTCAATTGTGGTAGTAGTTCCAATGAAGAATTATTTTCGGGGTGCATGTAATGTAATTTTTCTAATTAGAAACTTTATAAATTAATTTTTTTAATTTGTCGCTTAATTTTGTTTTGTATTAATTTACAATTATAATGTTAACTTCTTCATTCTAAATAACCCCCTAATTATTACTTATTTTTTCTCAATTTTAAGCTTTCTTTACAATTTTCGTTTCTTTTCCATTTTACCAAAATATTTGATATTTCCCTTTCATCACACTAAATTTTAGAATCCTAATGTTACTAGAATTACACTTTTTGTAGGGTCAAACTAATGTTGAAATATTGGAAAATTTTAAATTTCCACCACCAGTTTTAGTACAAAAAAGTAACTTAAAATATTATTCTTGCAAAAATTATTTCTAATTTAAACAATATTACACTAGTTTCGGTTTCTCCAACATAATTATTAACAAAACTATGGAAGTTTTAAAACTGCAATTACCATTTGTGGCGTCGTAAATGAAAATCGCGTATAATTATATCTGAGTGATCGTTAAGAAGAAACGAATATGAAAAATGACTTTCATATACGTTATGCCCTTGCATGAAGAGTACAATGGCTACGGGAATCTAGAAAATGGAGGGTACGAATAAAAAAAAACAGCTTTTCACGATATCATGTAGGTAGAACGCGTGCTAGGGGTCACCGAGAGAAAAATCTAACATTTTCCAAGAACTATAAGCATGAAAGTATCGTGCAAAACATCACGCTTACCAACACGAACGTTCTAACGACCCTTTAGATTAATATTTATAATTACACATAATAATAACAGTTACCGTAAACAAATATCCGAGCTCTGAACGCTTTCAGCTTGCCGCCTACGCAGGACACGCCGCCCAATGAACCGGAAAAGGAAGAGGAAACACCGCCGAAGAACGCCTGCTCCAGATTCTTCGCCGGCTGCAAATCGAAAATGTGCGCCGGTTGCGCCTCCAAGAAACCGCCGGCCGCCGCGAAACCAAAGACTGACATTAGCTGCTTAAGTTGCTTCAAAAAGAAGCCGGAATCCACTTCCATCGTCATCGAGGAAACCGACGACAAGAAGCCCGGCTTCCTCCAACGCCTCAACTGCTTCAAGAAGCAGAAAATCGGCGACGTCTCCTCCTGCTTCCCCACCGGAAAGAGGAAGGGCAGCTGGGTGGAGCGGGCTGGAAGCCTATCACAACCTGCCAGGTAATTTATTCCACCTAGTTCCTCTTCTTTGTTAAATGTTGAGTTTTTTTTCCAGAAAAAAGTGCTCCAAACAATGCTGCAAAAATTTCCTGCGGACGATATTCTGCGTGACATTGTGCGCGAGCTGCTGTAAATGCTGCAAGAAAAAACCGGTCGAAGTGCCCGAACGAAAGGACTCCATCATCAGCAAGAAGAAGAGTTTAACTCCCACCACGGCTCCACCGCCGGAGGTTCGATCGACTCCAATAAATCGATTATTTTACGTTTAATGCGCGTTGATTTCAGGAAGTACCGAAAATCGATTTGAGCTTGGTGGAGCACTCTTCTCACATGAAAGGGGCCATACCCATACTTCCGATTTGCTTGGCTTGGTTCTGCCTGGTGATGAATTGCATCGCTCCTGGCACAGGTACTATCCCTTGTATAATTACTCTGTATTGTATAACTTTTAAATTGTTCCACAGGAACGGTAATCAGTGGATTGCTATGCCTTTGCATCGGTATACCGAGGTTCTCGCAGAAAGACGGCCCCAAGTCCCGAATCGGCGCCTTCATCATAGATCTGATCATAGGATTCAGTCAGTTTTTCACAGTGCTCTTCTGTTTGGTGGGATGGGGATGGTCCATATGGTGGGGTATTATAATGGTGAAGATTTCGAGTAAGTAGCGCATTTTAAATCAACCGTTTGAAGTGTAAAGTTGATCGATTTTTAATAGAAAAACACAAGAGGTTCAAGCAACTGGAGGCCTTCGAACAAGCGAGCTCGGTGCCCGGTACTACTCCCAATCCGCGACAACGGGACCCGGAGAGGCGTTAGAGGGATGAGAAGTTCGTTTTTGAAAATTTTGTACTGTTAAAAGGGCTAGGTGAACGGAAATTAGAGTAATAAAAGTTAACCTATAAAAAATTCGTCTAGCGCTCGACATATTTGGAGATTTAAGAAAATTGTTGAGTCATTTTTGCTGGTCGAAAATGTCATTATAGCGAACATAGAGAGATTATGGCAATATTTTTTGTATCTAATAAAGACCTAGTAATAATGTTTGTTATAAATTTTGTAAAAACTGTATATAAGCGTTTCGAACCACAAAAATTTGTTCACGAAATGAGTATACTTTGTTTATTGGTTATTGTATTAATAAATTAATTTAAACGGTTTCATAGAGCTTTGTTTAATTTGAGAAGAGGGAGAATATTTTTATAAATCACTGTAATAAAAAAACAGCGCATTAATGCACAAACGGAGAACTCGAGTAGTTGCAGAGATGTAGTAAAAAACTGGAATAAAACACTTTTTTTCCAACTTGTTTATCGATCGATATAAAGTAATTTTTTCAGTTAAAATCTTAAATTCAACAAAGCTTCCGAACGTTTTTAACATATTTAGTAAACGTTTAAAGCACAATTATAAAATTACTAAACCTGATGAAAACAAAAAACCTAATTCGTTGTGCAAAATACTAAACCATTACTAATAAGAAATTAATCGAGATTTTTTTATGTATTTTATTTCGTTTCTTAAATGAGTCACGAATAATTTTGATGTAACAGAGTTAGATGTACCTACTTGATTATTACCAATATAATAAATACGTAAAATGTGTAGATAATTTTTTGCAGTAGATCTCCGAATTTGGTGAAAATTTCTTATATTAGAGGTACAGTGCAAATTTGGGCTAACTCTGCATCGAATTTATTAAGTCTTCTATATAAAAAGATATTTTCTTACCTGTAAATTTATACATATTTTGAATAAAATCCTCCGTTTACTGATGCTCGTTTCAATGCACAATGTCCCTTTTCGCGAATTTTTCACCACAAAAAAACATTATGAAGCACATAGGAGTTTATTTTATGTATGTTTTTATTCAGTTATACACATTTTTGGAAGTAAACATATGTACAAATTCTGTTAGCGAGACCAACTATATAAAATACAAACTGCAGTAAATAACAATCAGGTACTCTTTGATTTCACGCCGCGAGTAAACTGTGAATGTTTCGCGTTATGATAACGTCAAAAACGGCGCGACGTTGCCAATACGCCTTATTTAAGTAAGTTAACTGAAAAATTACTAAATACTATTTTTTTAGTAGTAAATAAACAATGAAATAAAAATTTTAATACCAATTATTTATATTTTTAGTTTATATTGTTCAATCGTGAGCGTTTTAAAATGGAATTAATGAAAATTAACCAAGTATTATGTTTTACAAACCAGTTCAATCGCAGCCTAAAAATCAAAGATTACCAACAATTAATCGATATAAATATTATATTCAATCTACTTTTAAGGATCCTCGTCCAGTTAACCGAAAAACAAAAAGAAACAGCATGTAGAGCAATTATAGAGAGCTACTTTATCTTAATATTACATATCGCATCCTTTCGAAACCTACAACACTTCCATATTTATGGGCTGTTTAACAGCCAAAGTGATATGTCTAGCAAAATACGTTTTAATCGCCACTCTAGACTCGATACATTTACACGGGATAAAATGAATTTGTCAAGCAAACAACGGCATGAATAATGTAATTATCTTTTTTAAATCCTACAAGAAACGGTTTTGTTCAATTTAAACTATAACTATTTTCAACGGTGAGCACTCGAAGTTCACTAAAGGGAACCCGCTAAAGCATAATATCAACTTTTTTTACCAGCAAATTTTGTTCAATTACGAATGAAATATCAAATTAACGATAGGAGTAAAATTCAATCGAGTTCAATGCCCAGGTTATCGCCAATTCGGTAAATAAAATTTTTCACCGGACATTAAGCTTAACATATCTACTAAATTACGCACAACTTTTCTTCTATCACATCTACTACAATACCTTTCACTTGCCTTGTATAAATCATATTGCCTGTAATAATAATGTCCGCTTATATACAGAATGGACTGAAAAATATTCTACAAATGAACGCTGAAACGTGTACAAAGAGAGTTTAATTCAAAACAAGCCGTTAATTGGAAGACAAAATTACTGAAAATTATTAGATAGAATAAAAAATTGTCTTCTGTATAATTAAAATAACACATTAAACCCAATTTCAAATTATAAATATAATAAATAAGAAATAAACGTTGGTATATTTTGGTCCACCTTGTATATAATAATCGCGGCCGTGATCTCACTGACAGAAGTAGATTGACATGGTGCTAAAAATTAGGGAGGAAATCTTGACCGTCTTCTTCCAAATGGAGCTAATACAAAAAAAATTCCCCGACTTCGTATGCCGGAAACAATACAGTTCCATAAGTTAAAAACAAATGTAAAATAATAAAAAGTATCACTTTTTTTTAACAATGAACAAAAATTAACATGTACACAAAAAAAATTAAAGGCTTGCGTTGCGCTCAAAGTTCAAAATTAAAATGGCCGTTTTGTATTTCGATGCATACATCTTTAGATAATCAAAGAGCGAATTTGTCAAGATTAACCTTACAAATCGGGAATTATCACATTTTGAAACTGTTATGATTAGTTAAAGATGTATAATAACAATAGTTTAGTAATTTTTGGATGAGATAATTTGAGTACTACGCAAGCTACAGTTTTCACAGCTCTTCGAAAAAGCAAAAACAGTGCAAAACTGCTTCAGACCTATATATTACACCGAAACACTCTTATTTTTAGAAAACGATTTCGATTAAATAAAAAGGATTTTATAGGAGAGCGCTATTTATTTAATATAAACATATCTCTGAAATAATTCATTTTCTAAAAATAAGTACTGGGCATCGAATTGCCTATTATATTTCTCTTTCTCGTGGTAAAAACTATTAACAAACAACTATTTCTTCGTCGGAGTACCTCTTTGGGTTAGACCTTCGAACCTCTTAAACGTATAGTTTATGAACACCCAATCCTTGTAATTAACATCACCGTCTTGAGATAGGGGCGCAGATGCTTAAAAACAAAAAACAAATACGTTTACATTAACAAGTACAATACTAAGTCGTTTAATAAACTCACGAATTTCCAGTTTGACATCGGGAAAATCGTCGAAATTCGACGTATCATCTATCGATTTCACTTCCACCGGTATAGCAGCAGGCCTTTCCCTGATGTGTTCCCAATCCACACCTCGGAAGAACTGATTCAATTTCAGATCCTCCAAACCTTTTTGAGATCCTAGTCTTCTGTCTGCCTCGCAACAGAATCTACAATAATAAAAGCATTTTAAGACCCATTTATTTGCATAGTTTCATTGGAAAATATAGGAAGTGTCCTATTGAATCCAAAATTTCCTACAGTACAAGACCATTTAATTGCTTAATAGCACTTAGTACGGAGTGCTACCAAATCTCCCTACAGTACAAGACCATCTAATTGCTTAATAGCACTTAGTACAGAGTGCTACCAAAACTCCCTACAGTACAGGACCATCTAATTGACAAATAATACAGAATGGTACTTACTTCACGATTGTATCTTTGGCCTCTTCGGAGATCGGTACTTCGGCGGGGAACACCAGCGTATCCCTCCAGTTCATCACCTTCGTGTAGGTGTCCTGCGGATTTTCCGAACAAAATGGCGGATAGCCGATGAGCATCTCGTACATGATGACGCCCAACGACCACCAATCGCACGCGGGGCCGTACCCCGTTTGCATGAACACCTCGGGCGCTATGTAATCGGGCGTACCGACGGTACTGTACGCCAACGCTCGCCTGTTTTTCTTCCAACTTTCCGCTCGACGCTTGCTATCCATCGGACTCGATGTAATTACTACAAGAAAAAAAATGAATTAAACAAAAGTGACAGTTGACATATAACTAAAAAAATTCTAACCACGGTCTTACATACAGGTCTGGAAACTCGGAACACTCTACAACACCTCATCCACAGAAGTTTCCAGACCTGTTACTATGCGACCGTGATTCTAGCAATACATGTCAAAAAAATGAGAACAAAACGAAACGTCACTGTCAAAAAAAAGTGTGATCATTGGCCTTTTGCGTTTCGGAAAACAAATCAATTTAGTGTTTAGAAATAATAATAAACTTACTGAAATCCGAGGGTTTCGCTTGGCTTAAGTCCCTGTAAAAGTCGGTCCGGTGAGATTTCTTGAGGCCGGTGCACAGGCCGAAATCCGACAATTTCAAATGGCCTTTGGCGTCCAAGAGCAAATTGTCGGGCTTGATGTCCCTGTGTATGAAGCCGAGCTTGTGTATGGAATCGATGGCGAGCGCCGTTTCGGTTATGTAGAATTGCGTACACTCCTCGGACAGCGTGTCTTTCTTCATCAGCAGCGTCATCATGTCGCCGCCGGGTAGAAATTCCATTATTAAATATAGGTTAATCGGATCTTGAAAACTATAATACATTTTAACCACCCACTGGTGATCGGCTTCTACTAATATATCACGTTCGGCTCGTACATGGGCCACCTACGCAAACAAATACAAGGGAATTAATGCGCCATTCAAATTCGACGGTATAAGAAATCGATAAGATGTAGGCTCGAGTCGAGATTTGCAGATTTATAACAAGAAAAAAATTGATGAAATCATTTCAAAAATTGCTTAATTTCAAATTCAAGTCGACTTAATCAAACCCAGAATATTTTCTAAATTTCAAGTCTATGTGGGCTCAAATGGCCCAAGAAGGTACGCTGTATTTATTAGTGAACTAGAAAAGCTCATTTGGGCCAATGTGGATTTGAAATTTAGAAAATATGCAGCACTTTTCCTGATACCAACTAATGCAATTTCGCTGGATGAAGAAAAATTCAAAGAAAAAATAATTTAGTGACCATTTACCTGTTCTTTTTCTAACATGTCCGCTTTCCTGAGGATTTTCATGGCGTACACGTGACCCGTGTCTTTTTTCTGTACTAATCTAACTTCTCCGAACGCTCCCCTGCCTATCACTTTGAGGGGTTCGAAGTCTTCGACGCCCAATCGAGATCGTTTTAACCTAAGGAATTCGGTTTCTTTTTGGGCATGTTGCAGCCGCTTTTCATGTTTCTGCTCTTCAGAGAGACTTTCGTCTTTTAAGGATTCTTCTAATTTCGCTAATCTGAAATTAGAGATGTATTTTTAGAATTAAACGAGCGAGCAAACCGCCATAATTAAGCCGGTGTTCGACTTTTAGGGGGAAAAATAACGATATCCAGTTTAGCTTCAGGATAAATTAAAATTTCATAAAAAAATCCAGAACAATTTACGTTTTTTTACCGTATAATTTACCAGCCAATCGATGAGAATACGATAGCAATTTTTGTCAATCATCAAACCAAATCACATCGTTCAACAAGTATAATTTAACCTACATATTTAAAATAATACCTAGTAATTCCCCTATTACAAGTAATAACGACAGTTGACAAGTGACAATTGCAATGACAATTAACCATTAACGTACAACTCTTCCTTGAATTCAAAATCATCAGTGTTCGCGAGATAGAGCGGCTTGATGAATGATTAGGAAACGCGGACGTTTCGAAACTACTGCAATTTAAATCGCGCAAAAAAAGGAGCACTCCACTTCGTGCTATCCGTTTATCTACTTTCATTATTCATCGCAAATGTCCGGTTCAAGGTGAGTTTCCTGCCGATCGAAACGTTTCGTTCGGATTTGTTTCCCATCGGCACGGTAGGGGAAAAATCCGATCGACCGGAGGATTTATTATTGATGCCGGTAAAATTAATGTCCAATGAGGCACTTAAACCCATCCGTGGTTATTATTTATCGTACGAAAACTGTCATTATAATGGAGTAAAAATTATCGATCATTACCCTATTATTCCATTTGCATCTAATAAATCTATCATAGAATTTCGAGGACGTACTACTTGTACTTCAGCAATCGAACGGATTAGATCGTGTAGTGATTTATTTATACAAGATAAATAAAATCCTTAAATAATTTGCGAAAATACAATTTACATTACCTTTGTTTCCTTTCTATATGTTGCGCTATAAGATTACTGTAATAATTTTCTAAAGTAACTTTTGCTTTGGTGGCTTTGTCCAGGGTGTGGACACTGAAACGGATGGTGTTCTCCGTGGCGGTCATGTCCAGGACCCCTAAAACAAAATAAATTCCTTAAAATTCAATCAAAAACACAAATTTTATGCTTTAAATCAATTCATTTATAAATAGTTCAAAGTGTAAGGTAAAAGAGAAACAAATAGCCACCACTATGTCCAGCCATGACACTATTAGACGATTTTCAATACAAATTTGATGAAATCTGGATGAATCTTTTACCTTTGTGTCTGAACCAAGGCGGACAAAAAGTACTCAAAATGCTATCCATAGTTTTTGCGGTAACCGTTCGCTCTGTTCATATTTGAATGCGAATAGAAATATTGGAATATATTGCGAAAAGTCTCGCACGGAGACGAAACGCACTGTCTGGGCGAACCTTCGACTAATAACGAAAAACGCGATAGAATATTTGATTTTTTTTATTTCACTTATCTAATCTGCTGATAAATTGCGAGGGCAAATCAAATAAAATACAATCGTATTGATTCCTACTATTGAAATATTTCGTTTCAAAGGAAACGCTACTCGATGTAGAATCGATAAAGTCGCGCTTTTATTAATTCATTATCGATAATTGAAGCGGGTAAGTAGCTACATAATTTCAAGTGTCAGACGTTCATTAAAACTTCCGAGCCCCCCGTGCATTTTAAATTTCCAGCGCTCTTCCATAAACGTTCTCACGTTGTTCGAAACGAACCAGGCGCGGTAATAAAACAAATATTTGTCAAAACGTACCGTTCAAAATCAAAAAAGGTAACGCAAACTGAATGCACACAGAGCCGGTACTTACGGAGGTATTACCACGGCTGTGAGTAATCGCTTTAAAATTGTTTTATTTAGTTTTGTTGTTAGTATAACGAGGATGGAGTAAAAATATCCGGTGCGATAAATTCGATGCCAATTTCGAAATTTCCCAGTAATTTCGCGATAGCCGGCGAATGAATCAAGGGACTTACTGTCTATCGTTTTTATCAATGATAAACACTGCATAATTTTGTAGTTAAATACCACATTGAATAAAATTAAAAATTTCCACAGAGAAACTATCCTCTGAAATATGAGTAAAAATTTATTAATATGATACAACAAAGTAAGCACAAATATAAAATTGTACAACTGACAAATTTATGACTAACACAAGATTTAATTTACATCACAACCAAATAACATTACATAACATTTCGTGTCACTTATAAAATTAAATAACTCACAATATCGCAAGGCGAAAATTACAATTAATATTATCATAATTATAATTAATAAAAGGTCACACAAATGTTGACGATAAATATTTACAAAAGCCGATATAGCAATGCGATTAACACATCTATCGATTCAATCTTACAGTACTTTGACCATTCGAATCGAGCGCTGTAATTAAAAAGTAATGGGAGTACCAACGACGTCTAGCAGAGTGATTGACTCGGAAGATTCGAATTCACAAACAACTCGTTGATTTTATGCGATTTTTTCCGAGAAAGCCATCCGACGAGCGTGCATTTACACAAACTATTTCACCGAACGAGGAACGAACTAGTCCGGTGTCACCGTACTAAATGATGCCGATATACGACGGTCGTAGAGAAGAGGAAAAAAAACGAGCATATAATGGTGAGATGGTTCAACCTACCGGGAAAAGCCACTGACACCATCGTCGGCTCCGGCACTACCTGGACGACCAGACGGAGACGCATTGTTCGAAAATTTTTACTGCCGCTTTTATGCGACGCTGTGTCGGCTATTGTTCGCTGTAATCAGCTGTTGTTGGGGCCGAAACGATACGAGAAAGTCGATAGTCGCGGAGAAAAATTAGAGGGTGTTCGGTCGGATTTCACTCGACGGTCCATTTAATACGAAAACACTTCCTTATCAGTGAGCGATCTACAGTTTGGATTGCTTAATTTGGCGAGATTTACCTAAATGCTCGCTCACGAGCATCACAATTTTGGTGGTTAGATTATACGCAGTACGACCCATTAACTGTTTACATTTAAGTTAACTTTTAATAAAAGATAAACAATTCTGTCAAATCATGCACCAATGATAACCATAAATATACAAAATTATATACAAACTAAGTACCCACGAGTACTCGAATTATCTACGATTTATTACGCCGACCTCCCAAAGAGGTAGTTGCACCGCAACGTAACGTACCTAATAGTGCAGTAAATTGCGATAAATTTAGATAAAAACCAGTACCTTTCAGATCAACAATAAAACATCCATTCACTTTCACATCTTCCACGATACCAAACAAAACAAAACCTTAAGCACGATTTTTTCGGACGCACAGTGTAGTTAACAAGTACATAATTTCACATGGAAACAGGAAAGAGTTGAAACAAATCGCGGCGCACGTTAGAAGATGTCAACGACAATTACGTATGTACTCCAAACAACGGACTGTAGTTACCGGTACCGGGTACCGGGTAGTGGGTACTGGTAAAATGGTAAAACGGCGAGTCGAAGGCGACGGGGATTCCGATATGCCGTGCACGGCGTGGCGTATCGGGTACGTTGCTCGATCAAAGTCCGTGAAAGAATGATTTTTATCGTGCTTTTGCTTCGCCAAAATATCTACTTCTGATGCTTCTGCTTCTACAGGGGTCTTTCGAATTTATTGCATTCGTATATCGGCACACGATTATAAATTCATATAATAATTAGTGGATAATTCGATACCACAATTTCGAAAAATTATACAAGGTGAGTTAATGAAACAGTATTTCTTACCTTAGTTTTTTTACAATCACAATTTTGCAAGTATATTTTTTTAGTCGTAAACAAAGCTATTCCTAAAGCACTTAAATTATTATGATTGCAATATTTTTAAATTCGAACAATAACAAACAAACTGTTTTCCGAAATTAATATGAATACGGTTCAAAAACTAGAAACACAACATAAAAATAACAATCCCGAAACGCGCATTAAAATTATACAATTTGGCGGATTTACTGCCGCTATAAATTAATTTTTATATTTCAAACACTTAAAAATAGACTATTACACGAAATCGGCGCGAAGACATGTAAAAAAATATCGCGAAAATCGACTATAAATCACGATGAAAATACATACATTAACAATCACCACGCACAAATCTAAACGCGGATGTTTGCCGATGTAAAAAAAATAATAGACATTTAAACAATCAATTGATTGGAAGATACACGCACAAATCGCGTAATTTCACCTTGTTCTATTCAACAATTTTAAAGGAGTACTTGAAATTATAAAAGGAAACATGTATAAATTCTATTCATCAAATTAATTTAAGAAAAATATTTACCTACACATTTCATAATTAATTCAACCATCACCAATCACCACCTTAAGAGTTAGAGAGTATAAGACTTTATTCAGTAGAAACATTTCACCAATAAAACCCTTATAAAAAATATATAATGAACCATAAAATAATGGTTTTTAAATGACCGATGGCGAACATTAAATAAACAAATTAAGCGACTCTAATCTCTATTTATATGACTCACTCGGTATAATGATTGGCGTATACGTCCGTTTAACGACTTTAATAAACTACAACGCCCCACGGTTCGCCGGTGATTCAACAAAACCGTATGACACCGTGCTAAAAAATACACCACGCAATACTACGATATACCGCAGGATTGCTCGTATACCTCGTGGTATTTCCAAGTACACGACGAGCTTGAACTTTACCATCGCCATTAACTCGACAATCATTTAAAAATATAAACAAACAAATAGTTAACATGTAGTTCGACACAACAAAAACGTATTTTCGTCTTGTTTACATGCAAGTTGGAAATGTTAATGGTCATAGGTGCAGTGCGTTTTGCGACGCAAAGTGATGAATCGGCTCGATTTTTCCAATTCGTGCTTTAACGCAGCTTAATTTGATACGGTGGAAAAGACGGTGCAATTCCTCGTGGCTAATTCGTATGCACAATTTATACAAAACGTTGATAAAAATGTATATTCTCATTAGGCACGTTTTTTTAAACTGAATAATTAGTCTTAATATAGCTATTCGCGTGTAGAATTTTGACAAACTTCACAAATATTTACCTATACATTGTAACTAATCTATAAATACTTATAATTATTATTAAATGATTAAAAAAGTTTAATAAGAAAATATTCACTCAATTATCGCTCAAAAAATTGGGAGACACTAAAACGAATAATTGAAATTTATGGAAAAAAGAATTAAGTGATTATTTCTTAATGCCGTGTTAAAAATTACTCCGATCCGCCGGCAATTATGCCTTTATTAATTATGATTTCATTTATATAAATAAAACATGGAGTCGACGACCATAAAATTTTAAATTGTTCGGAAACGACCGCTTTTTTGCATTTGTTAACAAACAACGACCTACGTGCATCCAGCAATTTAAATCTAATTTTAACGAGCGAAATTAAATTTTCCTTTCCAATGCAATAATAACCTGCACTAATGTTACTATTTAGATGGCCCTCGAGATTACCAGAATTTGTTCCATTAGAGCCATTAAACTCGCATACAGTGCTCGTGTTTTTATTGTAATGAAGAATACTTACAAAATTAACATTATGTATATTTGTGATAAAATAAACTGGTTTCACGAAAGGAATTTTTATATTTTTGTGAACTTTTAAATATTGAGTTCTTTTACCCATTATACAAGAAAAAATCGATTAGCATTTCTTCGTGACATCGCATTCGAATTCAAGATGAGTTTTTTAGCCTCTATAAAGATATAAGCAAATAATTTAGTGCCTTTAAAAAATTATTACCTCACCATATTTAATATCTCTAGTAAATAGAAAAGTACATGCAATAACATTGTACAAAAATACATTTCAATGTTATAAAGGATTAATTGAGTATTTAAAATGTATCAAATAGGAACAAGAAACTCCAAACTTTACATTAGAGCATTAATTTAATTTATTTTTCTCTGTTCATATAGAACAGTTGTATACTATTTAGTAATATAGCGGTAATTGCTAAATATACGGGAGGAGCGTTATTAGCAATTAGCAACACACATATTGTGCAGTTATTATTGCGAATTAATTAAATTAGAAAAATATATCGATAAAGGGGTACAAGGTCGAATCAATGAATCCATCAATGATATTAATCTACGGCAAATACGTGGGAGATATTAGGCTCGTCATTAATAACACTTGTCATATAAATGTGCAACTCGATATGTATTCGTTGGTTGTATCTAATTAAAATAAAGTTTTATAGATGCATAATAACTGTATCTACACTCTACAGGTAAAATTAAAACTAGCAAGGAAAATTTACCGAGTAAAATAATATACACTATTTTTATCGCGGCCTCATGAAAATCTGGTGTAACATTGATGAATGTTTCGACCTATAATATACATAATTTTCCTGCGATGCTCGCGTGCGTTTATTTTTACTCGAAAAGGGGCTAATATCCAAATTACCCCCGATATTCGGGGTTAACACGTATGAAAATGTCAAGGTGATGATATTACTCTTTCTACGCATAACGCTTTTGTAGAGGACAAGCTTTAAATAGCTTCATTATGTAGACGTGTCGATAAGAGAATTAGATCAATTAGCCAATTAATCGATGGGACGTTATTCGATTACTTGTAGCGTGTAACATTCAATTTTGGGGGAGATATTTTTAGATTCGACACTTCCACTCTAATAAATTATTTATATTTCTATACGCATTATTTCATTTCTGGTAATTTTTATCATCGATACAAATAAATCGTTGCTGAAATACGATACCATCGCAAAACCCGTATCTTAAAGTCTCCCGTTTTATAAATTATCCTTCGGGAATACCGAATGGTAGGTACCCGTCCGGAATTTCAATGCCTTTTACCTCCTCTAAAAGATCTTATAAAAACTACAGATCTTAACTCAAGTTTAGGAACGAGTAAAATGCATAAAGCTTTCGAATGGTAGGTACACAGAGGTGGGATTAGGGAATTATGAAAAAATATGTAATCGTGTATCATAAAATACTCGATCATTTTTCCCTTCTCATATGCATTGTATATGTATAAGGAAAAAGGAAGTGTTTACTTTCTCGCATGAAACGCCGACCTCCTATGGCGCGAGTTACAATAGAAAAAACAAATACTAGTTAAAGGTTAAAGTAAAAGATACTCTTAATTGCTTATTCGTGCTGCCTTAAGAAAAGTTACTTTTCATTTTGCTTCCTTCCCCGTGCAATCCATGAGAAAGTTATATTGTCTTATTAAAAAACTTTAATTAGCAGGCTATATTGGATGCACCATTTGTATCGAGTATGCAAATTAATGAGCCTTTATATTGCAAACTTCTTTATAGGGGCCAAATTATTAACGTGCAACGAGCTACTTTCTGTGCTATTCTATTTTTACAAATTTTAATGAGCTAATATAAGAAACTGTAGATAAATAGAGTTCGGAGTAATTTTGAGTTGGTAAAAGGCACCGTAATACTTCTGTTAATAAGTAATCATCCAATTAACAGTAATTTTTGATTATGTTTAATTAAAGCGAGTAGTTAATAAATTTGATTCGGCGCATGCATCATTGAAAAGCCACTTTTCCAATTTACGATATAATTTAAATCGCTATATAAATAATTAAGCCGTATAGAAATATCAATCAATTCAATCAAATCCAAAGTCCTAATTGATTGTTACACTAATGATTAATACATTTTAAAAACCTTAATAAAACTTCACTAAAACGTTGCTTCCATTTAAATTTTGAACGTATACAATCTGTGTAAATATCAAGTGTTTCAATTATTAGATAATTAAATGACTTCTGTACTCAAGTTTATAAATGTATTGCTTGTATACTAAAAAAATATTACCAATTTATACATAAATTGTAGCATTATATTAACAATTTTCGTTTAATAAAATAAATTCATAAATAATTCAGATTCATTATAGCAAATTGCCAATTATAAATATTGCATGCAACAGGAAATTTAATTAAAGTAATATAATGATCCGCTAATTAAATAAACGAAAAATTCGTTACTTACTAAACCTCAATAGTAACGTTCATCGAGCAATACCTGATGCAACAACAATTCACATTTATAACACGCTTATTGTTAAGCTATTTTTCGAAACTAATTCCCTCGATAAATATTATCGTTCTATATGCAAATCCGGCACTCTTCGACGTGCAATTTACGCCCGTCGGAATAGTAAAACACTTCGAAGATGATCGTCTAAAAATACGCGTTAATAATGGAACACGCGGATATACGGAGTATTCTCTCGACACGAGAAGACGACGCGCGTTTGGCATATAACCGAAATAAAAAATTAAAGGTTTTACAAACGAGGTTATTGCCGACGATTTTCTACGGTATATACTCCGGGGCGATCTGAAATTTCTATTGCATCGATTCCGTTCGATTTTAACCGCGTCAGGTTCGGCTCTCTTTATCACAAACGAAAATTACACTAGATTAAATCGGATTAGTACAGTAGGCGTAAGTATTTATAATAGTATTTTTTTTTAATTCGTTAAGTAATATTTTCTTTTATTGGTCATAAAACTGTTATATTACCATATTTAACGCAACTGTTTATTTGGTCGTTATCTAATAAAACATGCGATTAAATAATAGGTATAAATGCATACAAAAATGTAGGATTTTTCTGTTTTAATAAATAGGAATTGATTAACGAAAGACCGGACCTGCTGTGGGATTTAAAGAACGCGCGTAAACATCGACTAAAATCTTTTACACGCCAGAAAATCGACCTACGACCTCGATCAGAGAGAGTAAAAGAAAAAAAACCGAAAGGAGGTCGTTTGGCGGATTTTATCGAGCGCAATTAAGTAATGCGTTTTTATTATTATTACACTTTGACCACCACATAATCAATATCGACACTACTTCAAGAGAAAGAAAATTCATTATGATTATTTACAGTTTTATTTCTTACCTAAATTTCTACTAGAATTTTTATGGAGCATACTACTATCAAGGTTGATGGATATGTAGAGCAAAAAAATATTTTTTCTGCATTAAAAAATAAGATTACAACTCATTATTGAATTTTTACCAACAGATCCTTTTTTATACAATAAAATAAAAAAGCTATTCACAAAAAACGGAGCCACTTTTTTTAAATCTCCTCTGGACATCCCTATTTGAAACCCGAGAAAAAATCTAATAGTGAATATTAGTCCATGTACCAATTTTCTTGAATTTATCTCGAGAAATATTTTGGGAAAATAAAACAGAAACCATTTCCAGGCTTACACCCTCGAGTGCTTACAACTCCCTTAAGTACTTTAGGAAAAACCGTTATATAAACATTCCTTTTTTTCTTATACCCTATATTACATAATACATCGTTTTTTTGGTACATCAACTAGCGCTGTTCCCACAATTGACAAAGACGAATTTGGTGCATTTTTTTAATTAACGAGGATCATATTTCTTCAACTTATTGCATGAGAAATGAGTGTAGCATATTTTTTCTAAATCATTAAAGAGTCGCTGCAATCTGTAACGTCTGGTAAATTTACATACAATTTCAATGCGCCTAGCGAAAAAAAAGCTACTCGAAACCGTTTTAGATCTCCAGACCTTTAAAGGAATTCATTACTTACTATGCTAATGCCTAGCCGACTTTCGCTGAACTGATCCCGTTTTAACTGGAAAAATTCGGCAATGTTTATACGACTTAATTTAGTTTTTGTCGCTATTTTCTACCGATCGCCCTGTATGCAAAGAACCCGTAAAAATATTAGCACCGCTACGGGAACAATTCAATGATACACGATGTGAATTTTACGACGAAATTGCGAATAAAAAAGCTTAAATGCCTCAGTGAAAGCCAAAAATAAAGTTAAAGGATAACATTTTGAATGCCAAATTGGATAGAAAAAACGACGGTTTTCTATCTCATGATCTTGTTTAGATAAAGCGTATGTTTTTATGCATTCTCGTTCGGAACAAACTATACACACAGTTAATAAAACAATTTTAGAAACATCGACTATTAAATCGATTATAGCGCATGCAGGAATCGGCCGAATTTTATTAATAAACGAACATAAATCCGCGCATTATTTGTACGATTTTAAATAAACCCAGACGACACGCCACAAGCAACTTCTGTCGTAATCTTTAACCCGGTGAACATTACAACGTAAGACCTACATGAATAATTAACGTCTTATTACGCAACGTCGCATATAAACCTCGGCATTAAAGGGTACATGTATATTCGTACGCTGTAATTACCGGCAACGTCGTAATTAAATTTTCATTGAACACCTCCGCTAATAATTCCGAGCAGGCTTTTCAAAACACAATTTTATCGGTAATAAAATTGACAACTGCAAGCTTGGATTTCTCTTGGAAAAAAGTATGTATAGTGCATTTTCGCTAACTTAGCGGTGACTTCTGTATGGGGATTTTTTTGAAACGTTGTCAAGTCGTAACTTTTTTCCATTACATACAAGATTATTCAATCAGATATAATTAGTATAATTCAATCGAAACTAAATTCAATTAGAGCGAACGTCTTAATCGTGTCATCGTTAAAATTATCGAAACATACTTAACATAATTACATCTAGAAATATTAATTAAACGTTGCATAACGGGCAATAAGGAAACGCCTAGATTCGAGATAACGCGCATTCGCTATCGTAAATTAATTCATAAAGCTGGCGCGCTTGCATTAGAGCAGTAAAAACTTTCTTCTCTTTCAACAACAACAACTCGGGTATATTTTCGTTTGCAGAAACAGCGATGAAATCGAATAATGGGACCTATTATTGTAGCCCGAACGCGCGCAGTTAAATTCGAACATGCCGCACACAACGTGTTCACGACACAACAATATTTCCGAACACAATAAAATTCGCGCGAAGAGGGAATTAATTTTATTACTCAGCAGTCCGCTGATCCCTGCAAATGCGTGGCATTGCTAAAAAGAAAATTGAGCGTAACGAAATTATACGAATTTGTAAATAGCTAAATCATACGATAATTATGTTTAATTATTTTACACGGTAACACCTGTATGATGTAACAGTATATATTTTCAAATCCTGCTTTTAACATTGAAAACGCTTGTAGGAGTTAATCAAGGTAATCGCCATGTTTTATTCAAAGGCAATTAATTTTAATTTAATTAGTAGCCAGGATTTGAAAAAAAAAAGTTCATTTTATACTTTAATAGTAAAGAAGAAAGTAAAATATCTAAAGGTTCTAATTAAAGTTTCTTTTAATTACATTGGCGTAATAAGGGACTAATTTAGTGTGACCTAAATATGTTTCATAATAAAATCTAAAATAAATCGAATTATAATATATGAAAGGTTTTTGTTCGACGATAATATAGCGTATAAATAACGAAATCACCATTTTAGAGTACATGCCAGATCGCTAGTGCTTGTTTGTTTCACGGATTTACAATGGATTATCGAACAATGACTGTCCTGATTTTGGTTTCCGTACTGGGTGATCTCAACCTCCATTACGACCGCCTAATTATATTATATCGAATAGCAGAAAGGCCGAAATTACATGCCGAGAGCGACAAGGTTCGCATTTCACTATTTCCATTGTGTCCAAACTATTGACAAATTGCCCCACCGTGATGCAACATACCGGGGATGGTTAACAAATTCCAAATTGATGAGTTATGTGGTAGACTTTTAGACCGGTCAATTACTTTAAGGCACTGTATAATAATTTTAGCGTAATAAAAACACAATATATGGCATGCTTTAGTAAAAGCCAGCTAATAAATACCTTTAGTGGAAGAATAACATTTTAACTACAATACTTAAGATATAAAGGGAATAAAAATAAAACTTCGTGGATAAAGAAATATATCGTACAGTTATGAGTAATGGGTATCTATAATTATTTAGTACTTATAAGTGAGTAAACTAATGAGCACAATACAATCGAGTCGTGGTTATTATTAGGGTAGGGTCCGCCTAGTAAATACCTGCAAATTGCGAGAAAACAAAATGATTTTCCGAAGCGACCTTCTGTATCACGTCACACAACGAAGAATAAAATAAAAGCAACAATCATATCAGGTTAATTTCAAGGCCACGACGATTGATCATACTAAAGAAATCGAATCGAAAACACATCGAAAGCGCCCGAGATCCTATTAGATACGAAAACTGGCGCTCCGCATCGAATCCAATAGGCCACCAGCTGAGTGTGTGTAGCAGCAGGACCTGCAGAGCGACACTAACGTAACAGCCATTGGCGTCGCGACGCGCCATGTACTAATATACAAAATATCAATTTATTCCATATATTATACATACCAATTATTTATTTAAATTAGGGGAAAACTCACCAACTCTGGCAACATCGACGCGACGTGATTCCTTGGGATCTACTGTCGGATAAACCGCAGAGATATTTCGGAAAAGCGAGAGGAAAAGCTCGGAACGGAATTAGAAAAGCGACTGGAGCGCGGGAGCGTCGCGACGACGACGCTCGACGCTCTTTTCGGCGGAATGAAAACGCGACGTTGTCGAACGAAAATTACGCGCGGTGTGTAATTAATTCATCCGGGCGAATGGGAATTTTTAACACTTCGACGGCGGAGGTTTCATCTTCGGCGCCTTCGGGTTTTCATTTCGCTCGAACGGAGCCCGAGTTATTCTAATTATCGGCGTCGGTAATTAGTTTTTTTTGTTGTTAATTACGATGACGCAAGACGTACGAAATTTTGTTCCACGCGAAGTTTTCGCGATAAATTTGCCGACATCACCAAGAGCTCTAATTGATGGAAAACTTTGTAGTCGAAGAAACCTCTCATATCGAGTTTTAACAACCGCCAAGCGAGTAATGGAGAGCCTTTCGAGAGCAATTTCCTTTTCTACCCTTCCGCTCGAAGCAATTTCCTCTACCTATAGCTTTCCCCTCGGATTCCAAGACATTAATTCCATCAAATATCGTGATATTTATTATCAACAAACAATAACTTCTCAAAGTTGATTTGTATACAACCCGTCAGTAACATTTCCATAAATTTCAATTTTCAACTACACATACATATTCATACCTGTATCGATATAAACTTCTCTCAGCAATAATTCGAGTAAATTTATTCCTCTAAATGGTCGGTTAATTTGACATTTAAATAACAACCACCGCACCACAACCTACCAATAAAAGAAACCTACTAACAGCAAGTTTTATTTTAAACAATTATTATACTGCCGAATTTAGGCTAGACGGGATCACAACAAAATTTTGACTCAGTTGATGAATAATCGCGCGGCCTTCGACTGGCTAAGTGAAAAGCAAACAATTTCCTTACACGCTCGCAACGTTAAAACTACCGAATTATTTTCCAATGCACCATCGGTGTAGCACGTATAGCTTTAAATATAGCTCACGTTAGTTGGCTTTGATTCACATAATCAACGGATAGGTGACAAAAGCGAGACGTGTAGGTGCGGAGGAGGGCGACGTTGCCGCATCCACCACCAGCCACGTGTGCATCTATCGAACTATCCCGAAAGGATAATGTAGGTCAAGATTAACTTCTGGAATTCCGCGAAGTGGGAACGGGAGGATGATACGAGAACGGACGATGAAGTTTAAATTGCAGTATTAATTAATCACGTCGTTGGCGTATTGAGTTAGGTTTACATATTCGTAACTTCATCATAGTTATCTCAATTGATGTAGATATCATGATGCGCAACAGAGTTGGATTATTTGAACTAGCAACCCTCAAACTGGAAAATCTTATTACAAAACAAGGTACATGATGTTTACATCACCAGAACACATTTGCATTTTCGCCTCGGCACTGATACAGCCCCAGTCTTTTAGCTGTAAACACTGTAATACATCACACAAGCAGCATATTTAATCATTTTAAAATATCTAATAGAGTACGTCAAAACATAGACGAGCCGTATACAAAAGGGATATTTTGATTAATTTCTTATTCTGTTTATTGTTCGCTCGCAACAATGGCAAGTTGGACGTGGTTCGTCTTTCTTCCCTCGGGAAGCAACACGACGATTCAACCGGTCCCAAAACCAAATGACCCACTTCCCGTTACTCGTAATAGGTTTTTCCAAATCGACGAAAACGATTATGGCAGGTTTTCAATGCGCTGAAATTTACAATGGGAAAATGGAGAATCGAGATATCCATCAAATCCTTTTCCGTTTTACTCGAGAGTGATATTGATCACACTGTATATACACTACTACATGTAGGTATAATAAAAATGTCATTTCCTTATAAACTCGTACGCACAAAGGTGATATAGAAACTGCCATTGTTTATGGAAAACCATACGTCAGTTTTACTAAATAAAACGTTTTTAATTAATAACAGCCATTTACGTTCTCACATTCGATTGCATAAATGTAAACAATAGTTGTGTTTAACAAAACCTCGGTGACAATTTGATAGCGATGAATAACAACGGTAAATTACAATAGAGGTCATTCCCTTAATTAGGAACTGAAAATTACTAATAACAACAAAAATGAATAGGTTACACACCGTGCAATAACAAAAATGTAATTAATTTATTTATGCAACTATACCGAATGTAACCGATATATAATTTTTGCGAAATATAAATAGTACCAATTAAGCTGTTGTTTGTTTATAAAAGACAAAAGGTAACAGAAAATTAACAAAAAAAAGGATACAATATAAGTCAAGGTTAATTTTACTAGCCTGAATTCATTATGACAAACGACCTAATGCGGTCTCTGACTCACACTTTACTCTATGGATAATAACAGTGTTCTAATGACAGTAGCGTAACTGTATTAAAAGCGAATTATCAGAACAAATTACTTTAACAATTCATTAAAAAAAATTGGTCACCTTGACGAACAAACTTACGCTACATAGAGCTAGCAGATATTCTTCAACAAAATGAAATAATCTGAAAAATTAGAGTACCTACATTTTACGAGACTACTTAAGTTGTTGGAAAATTTATATCAAAAATAAAATCATGATTTATAGAGAAGTTTCTCATGGAAGGAAACATTTTTCTTAGGTAAGTACTACAAAAATTCTACATAGAAATAAACTTTGTATAAAACCGTGTCTATTTTATAGCAATTTTACAATTCCCAAGCTCCACTAAATATTCCTTTTAAGTCCAGATTTACGGCGGAATAAATGGGATAAAATTTAGTTACAATGTAACAACTCCAAACTGATATTACACACGTAAAAAGATATGTTTATGATTAAATCCTACATGATGCACGTTCGAAACGTTTATTGCGAAACCCTTTCATAAACATTAAAACAAAAATATTGATATAATAACCAGAGAATAGCGAACACAGAGAAGCGACAGCTTGGGTTTTTTGGTGGTATGGTTTTGGAGGACGCATGTGCGAAGTAAGTTGTTTTTAACTCAAAGCCACGCGGTCAGCGGTCAGCTGTGTTTAGTCCGTGAGCTTAACGTTTAATGTTACGCGTTAAGAGATATTTTTTGGGTGTTTGCTTTCAGCCGTATGCATAGTCGTTCGCCAGCGAACGCATGTTTATGCATGTTTATGAGATGTTTACAATATTATGATCTAATTGTTTATATTGCTTTGTGAATAAACGTTGGTGTCAATTGTCTTAAAAATTAAATAACAATGAATTAATTCGTAAAAATATGTAATTCGAATACACATGTAAAAAAATTATAAATTTTTCATGAAAGTATATTACTTGTTGTAAATGTACTTAGGTAGATTCTTTTAAATTTCCTCAAAAAATTTCACAGAACAGTTGACATGCTTTAAGTAGTTTCTTGAATTTCCTCTCTCTTATCTAATAATTTATTTCTAATCCCTATTTAAAATACCCATAAACATCGACAAATATCTGTATACAAATCTTTTACATACTTTTATACTTATATTTGTATAAACATAACTAATTATAAGGAATTATATTTTGGTTCCGCAATCTCGTCATTACTATTTACCTGAACTATCCCAATATAAATAAATCACATTGTAACATTTGCACGTGGACTATAACATTTATTTCGAAATTCTAGTTCGCTCAGTGTAGAAAACGCATGTTTTTTCAGTGTATTAAGTTGTCTGAAAAGTGGTCGCACGATATCAAAGGGACCGACAGCTAGTGTCGCTTCTCTGTGTTCGCTATTCTCTGTAATAACTATGTAGTAAAAGGAGAGTATTGCATACAATATTTTTTCGCCGACACTGGTAGAATCTGCTTGTTAATTCCATTTACGTTATAATACAAGGCGAGTACATCAAAGTGGAGACACGAACAATGCATTTGAGGTAACACATTATATACAGGCTGAATTTCCTAGTTAAATTAATGCTCGTGTAACAGTAAAAAAAAGCGTACTCGTAGATATACAAATGAAGTAGTTCGAATGCATAAAACCAGAGTTATTGTCCGATAAACCCAAAAAAAGGCGAGTGATAGATAATTTTTCAGTAGTTTTATCACGTCGCTACTACGACAAAGACTTTTAAATTATGCAAATGTAATATCGCCGAACGGCAATGAGTAATCGAGTTTCGTTTTAACGGTCGCGATAAAGGCAACGAAAACGCCCGGTTTTTAATACCAAACGAAAATATTACAACAATTTCGCTGCATTTCAGGTGAAAATTCCTAAACCAAAAACTATTTCCTTTTACAGGAAAGGCTGTAAAAAGAGTACACACTACATTCGAACTCAATAGCTATCGTGCTTTTAACTCACCGGTCATTTTGAATAGTTAATTAATGTTGCTTTATAAAAATTGTACACGATTGGCGGTTATGCGGGAAGGGATGCGTTGTATAAAATTTATTAGGTTAAACGGGTAAACTCGTTTCGGGCGAATGCAATTTTAATTTCGCATCGGGGGGGCTTTTTATCCCGAGAATGCAGAAATAGCAACAAAATCGCATGACTACAGTCGTTATTGCGGCTGAAATAAACCCGGAAATAAATTAGGTCAAAAGGTATATCTGCAAACTTTGAAAAGTTGTTATACGTATTTTTCTTCAATTTTAATGCATAATATATAAGCAATTTATTCTAGCAATTAGCAGGTATTTTCACTCTTCGTTGCATAACTTAAATAAAACATAATTGTAAAAGGTTAAAGCGAATGCTAGAAATAACTGAGGCTATTAAAGCGACGAACAACTGTTGATGTTCCATTAATTTATTATTACAAGTACGATTTCTTTTCGGATTAAATCGTAAAAAATCGATCGAGCTGCCC